ACTCGCATCTTTATGAAATATTGCATAAAATTTGCATGTGAAGTTGATTCGCAGTAGTTATAACTGGTAAGTAGTTGCATTTTTAGTTGCAAGAAGTCGCAAAAAGACCCTTTATTTATATAAAAATTTCTAAAAAAGCGTGGAGTGCGGGAAAACGCGAAATAATACACTGGTGAAAAGACTGGCAAACTGAATTTTGCTAAATCGTTGCACTCGCGAATTATCAAAATAATCCAACATAATAAAAAATTTTTTTTCTGATAGATGTATGGAAGATCAATGAAGAAGAATAGATAAACTAGAAAGAATTAAAATTACCTATCTTCTGTTAAACTATCCATTAACGGTTTGACAATTAAATAAATATATTTGCGAAGAAAGGGAAGCGTGGATGGGGAAAACATCATTCGACATCGTGGTCGACCACCTTTGCATTTCCAGCTTCAGCAGTCAATAGTCAGTGGAACCAGCCAAAACAAAATCGGTACGCGTTGCCAGGAGAAGGTAATGACGAAATAAGTTAGTCAAGCAAAACAAAAGAAACGAAACGAAAAATGACCAACAAACAGTTGTAAATCTCTAAAATGAATTAGAATAAGGAATATTTTAAATTTTAAAATATTCCTTGAAAATTGTTCAAAAATTTAAAATGAATTATCATCGTCTGACAGATTTCGAGAAAACAAACAATTAAATTTGAGAAAATTACGCGAAAAACTTCCGATATCATTTATTGTATAAATTTACGATTGCGTTTAGTGAATGTGAGAATGCTCGTGCTCTATGTTAGTTTCATAAAGGTTAAGTTTAGTAGGGGTAGTGCGGCTCCATTCCTCCATTCTTGTCTCGTGACAGAATAAACGCGAGTGTCGTCGAGAGACTGATCGTTGAGATGGCATGAGAAATATTTGAGTGCTTTTCTCCCCTATTAAAAGAATCTTCGATGGATTTATTCTTGCAGGTCATTGTTACATAAAAAAGGTCAACGGAGAATGGTTCAGCAAAGAAATTCTTTTCCTTTCTTTTACTGATCAGAGATAATCGAGTAAGTGCTTTAGCAGTTCACGCAATTCCATTACTTTCTTTTATTTCGCTTTATTTCAAAAAATTATTGCAAAATTATTAAAATTTAAAGTTTTGTTTAATTTTCTTTAAAAATTTTTTTACAAATTATAATACTCTACAGTATTTCTTTTTTCCGAAAAAATGATTAAAATTTATAAATTTTATTAACTTTAATATTTTTTTCAAAAAAAATATTCCCATTGAATCAGTTATTATTTAGTTTTATTTTCCACTATTTCTCTCTATTTTAGATAAAAATTCTGGCATTTTTAATAGTTTTAATAATTTCAAAATATCCCTGAGAAATTCGCTGTAAAGGGTACTTTGTCAGTATCAGTGAACGACTACGAACGGTATAACAAAGAAGGAAAAAGAGAGAGCAACGACTTAATGCGAAGGAACGATCAAGGTTATCGTAATCGTGGTCACAAATAAAGAGGAATCTGTTGATGCATAACATAATACTCGGTGAACTCGAGCTCGCAGTGCAAAAACTTTCTGGCGTCAAACCCAAACCTCTTTAACCTCTGACCTCGAAGCGATTCATACTGCAATTGTACAAATAAACAAATTCTATTCTATTCTAATTGTCCATTGAAATGCACTTCCTTTTCCTGTAGCCACTCACGCGAATTTGCTTTGCTGTGTTAGCAATTAAAAATCGTTTGCCAAAGAATCACTTGGGAATAGAAGTGAAAGCGAATCCTCAAAAAGATGGATTTCATTTTCAATTACAGGTTGTCAGGTTGACAAATGGTAGGTTTGAGGTTTAAGGCATAAGAGTGGAGGCCGCGACGATTGCCCCACTGAAACAGAATATCACTCGGCCAATCCGCTTTATAAGACCACAGCACTAAAGAAATCCGAGTGAGCACCAAAGAAAATTGTAGGATCCAATCGTAAAATTTTTAAAATCATGCGATCACTCTTACCTTATATCTATATTCTCTTTTCCCTCTCCTTCATTTCATCATTATCGAGTTCACCAATTTGTCTAATTTTCTCTATTTCTCCAAATTTTCCGTCATAACTACTACTCTATATTGTCATTTTCTCCGAATGTCTCAAACAGCGATGCACTCTAAATTTGTATAATTTCTTTTCCGAAAATGTCGCTCTTTAAAATATTTTTATTATTATATTTGAGATTGTTTCTTCATTCGTATCTTTCGAATCGGTTCCTCTTGAGTTTTTCCTGTTACTTCTCAGTTATTTTCCCCAATGTTCCTCTTCCTCTTTCTCAATTCCTTCTGTTTTTCCTCTTCGATTCATTCTTTCATTCTATTTTTTTATATTCCTTTTTTAGCCACATTTTTAAAAATTATTTGAAACTTTTTATGAAAAGATAAATAATTAATAAATAAATAATAATTGAACCGTCACATTCGACTTAAAAGTTTTAACGATTTCACCAGATAATTTCCTTAAATTCACCTCTCTTCTCATCCATTTTATTTTTTAAATTTTGAAATTTTGAATTTTGAAAATAAATTTTGTCAATAATTTTCTCGTTGTCCATCTTTCTATGCTATTTCATAAATTATTTTATTTCAGTTTCTCTTCTTTTTCTTCCTTCTTAAATAAGAATATAAGAATTTGTGAATATTAATAATGCTAGTAATCTTTTCTATTTCTCCGTTGATCCGATTTTCAAATCTTTTATCCGCGAATATAGAAATTCATAGGAAACTCGAGTGAATGAAATTTACTTTCAGTGATGTTATGATTTCAAATTTAATATTTTTATTAATAAATCATTTATCATATCAAGAAATCCTTGTAAACAGTGAATTTATCACTAAATCTGCGTCATTGTCGTCGTCATTTATAATTGAAAAATGGCGACCTGAAAAAATAAATTTACCCGGATCGACGACTAATTTTACTTTAATTTGTCCACTTTATTTCACCGAAAATAATAATTCACAATTTCAATGGTATTTCAATGGAATTTTGTTATTAAATTATTCAAATAAAAAATTGCAATTGAATAATTTAAGTAAAAAAAATTCGGGAATTTATCGATGTTCATTAGGAACCTCTTTCGGAAAATTATTATCACTACCAATAGAAATTAACGTTTTATGTAAGTTTTGTTTGTTTTTATTTTAATTTAAAAAGGTGGAAAATGGCCGAAAACAAATTAAATTCTTTCTTTTGATTTGAATAAACCTATCATTAAAAGTGGAACTGTCTGCTGAATATTATCAAGGAAATTTGCATTTTTTACAGGAAAATTTTTTATTTCTTAGGAAGAAAAAATTTCTTAGGAAGAAAAAATTTTTCCTTTTTGTTTTTGCAGATTTGAATGGATTTGCAGTTAATTCGGATAATATTTATAGAATTTCGGCAAATAAACCTTTTATATTAAAACCACCATCACTTTTTGCCAGTTCAAATTTAAATTTTGTATGGAAATGGTACTTTAATGATAAACAGGTTTTGCGTTCCATCAGTTTTGTGTAAAACTTCGCAATGATTGTGACAAGGAAACTATTCTAAAAATTTTCGTGGAATTGAATTAGAGAAAAAAAATTTCTATTGGTTTATCAATTAATTTACTTGACTTTTAGAGCACACTTAAACTTCTGACGAATATTTGTCAAGGTTAGACAAAACTAAATGCGACTAAATATTTGATGTTTGCATGCATAGAAAAAATTATCTTTTTTTTATACTTATTAAGTATTAATTATTAAAAATTAGAATTATAAAACATTTTTAAATCATATTTAATAAAATTCGCGGGTAGTGTTTGCCTACCGTTTTTTAGCGAAAATTTTCTTTAATTTTCATTTAAAATTTTTTTAAAACTTGTGTTAAACTTTAATTTTTTTGAGCTTTCATATTTATTTATATTGTATTGCAATTATTTATTCTTTTAATGAAATGAAATTTCAGATTTATATTAATGATAATTATTATATAACGAATCATGGCGATTTAATAATAATGGATTCAGCAAATGGATTCGGTTATTATAAGGCATCAGTATATTCAAGCGATTTATCGCCTAATCACTTTATATCACCGAAACAGTTGGTTATTCGAGATTCTAATGATGGTTCGTTTTTCTTTTTTTTTTTTGAATTAACGTAATCTAAAGGTTTAAAAATTTCTTTTAATTGGTAAAATATAAATTATGTTATTTTTATGATTTAACAAATGATTATATTATTTTAAAACAACTGTAATTAAAATATAAATTATGTTATTTTTATGATTTAGCAAATGATTATATTATTTTAAAACAACTGTAATTAAAAAGTTGTAATTTTAATCTTTTTATAAATTAACTTGATAATTGGCTTGCAATGAAACTTGTCATTAACAGCATCCTTAAATGAATCTTCAGGAAAAGATTACATCGTAATGGCGAGCAGAGCAATTACGCGAATAGTGTTGATTGTTTTACTTATTTCTTTATTAATGAAATTTTTATTTTTAAAATATTTATTTATTTAGATATAAATAACGATAAATTGAAAGATTTCATTTATTCACCACAAAATGCAATCTATCGTGCTGGTGACGAAGACGCAGTAATCTTCGAATGTGTTCCACGTTATCGGTAAATTTTTAGCAATTTCTAAGTTTTCTAGAGAGTGCTTGGCTTGGAGATGAATAGCCATTCCAACTGTGGTTGGCTGAATTAAGTCTGTCATTAAAATTCTGTTGAGGATGAATATTTTTTTATTCAACAAATGAAAAACAAAAATAAACTAAGCTGCTCGATGAATACATAATATTTGCCTTTGCGTTCTTATAATTCTGTTGTTAAACAGTGTTTCAACAATAAAATTTATTTGTTCACCATTTACCATTTCACCACTTAGTTACTCAAAAAAAATTTGATAAATGAGCGGAAAGATTATGGAAAATTCATATTATTTATATATTTAAATTCATATTTATCGACAATTATTCAACGTTGAATATCTCAGACGTTATACAATTACAGAGTTCAACTAGATATCAAATGGACGATAGATGGTATTGAATTGTACAATAATAGTATTGTGTCCATAATTTATGCGCAAAGGCGTTTAGAAATTAAATCTGCACATCTTTTAACAAATAGTGATGAAGCAGTGATAAAATGTCAGATAATTTTTGATCCATATGGTGACAAGTATTCCACTACTATAGCTAATTTGACCATTATAAGTAACTGTTTTTCATTACATTTTTTGCATAATTCGACAATTTAAAGAATATTTTTTTTTGAATTTATCTTTCACGTCCGTGAAAAATTTTTTTTGATTTGTTTGAGATTTAATTGCAGTAGTGTTCGTCAAAAAAATAGCATAAAAATGGCATTAAAATAATTTTATTGGCCCAAATTATTTTTAGAACGTCCTGAAATAAACCGAAAACTTTTGCCAAATAAAATATCAAAAGAAGTCGGTGAATCACTATCATTGAATTGTCAAGCGTCTGGTGTACCAAAACCTTTCTTACAGTGGTATTTTAATGGCGATCGACTTGGTATTAATGGCTCACATCTGCACATTGAAAACTTGGATAGCATTAACTTTGGCTTATATCAGTGCGAGGCTAGTAATGCTGCAGGTGTGGATCTAACGATTACTTGGCTCAGAAAAGGTTCGGTATTTATGCAAATTCTGTTCGTGTTTCCTTTTTATTTTAACGTATTATCAAAAGGATTTATTTTATTTCAGTTAATGAATCTACATCAGATTCGTTATCATTTCCAAAGATCGTTGAATTTACGGGAAATTTTACAGCATATGCTATGACTGATGTGAAATTAAAATGCCTTGCGAGTGGCAATCCTTTGCCAACGATTAACTGGAGTTATAATGGTTGGCCAGTAATTTTGTACTCTGGCACAATTAAAGTCAATAAATCAATAAAATAAAATCGAATATAAAATATTGTTAATGCTCTTAAACTGTGGATGTAAATACCAGTATTCTTGAGATATATTGAGAAAAATCTTTAGACTTCCTCCTAAGTTTGAATCCATTTGTAAAGAATTTGAAAACTTATTACAAAAGCAGCGGCCAGTTCCTCGTATCTTTTCGGTTTACATATAACTCTTTGGCGAAGGAGTTTTATTTTTTAGCGAAACCAGAAATGATTCTTTTTACAATTAGTATTAAGAATGGATATTTTTAAATTTCTTATTAACTAAATGAATATATGAATATTCTTTTCTATTTTGGGATTAATTCTTCATCAAAATACCAAATATATTTTCGAAAATGACACATTTATAATAAAATCTATGTTGTTATCGGATTCTGGCAATTATACTTGTATAGCATCAAATAAGCATGGGGCTGAACAACGATCATTATCCATTCAAATTATTGGTTATTTCATTTTTTTTTAGTAAATCAATTAATTTATAGTGCATATTTATTAAATGTTTAGAATATTTGATATTATTTGATGTATTTGATTATTATTTGACTTGAAGCTAATATTTCTTTTAAAATAATTCTAAGATGTTTTTATTTCCTTTAATACGTTTTAGATCGCGATTTGATCGAGTATGGACCTTCTAATCAAAGTATTTTAATTGGAAGCAATATAATAATGCCTTGTAAACTTTCTGATTATTTTGAAGCAAATCCTGATATCGCAATAATTTGGAAATGGAATGTATGTTTATATTTTTGTTTTGTGCAAAAAAATTTGAAGACATTGCAAAAGACATTGTTGTCGTGAAAAGTTTTGTTAATTCAGAAAGAAGAAAAAAAAAACTAAAATTTTTTGAAAGAAGTAATCTGCGTACTCGTCAACGGTTTCACGAATTAGAGTGGAATATATAGCTAGTTGTAGATTTTATTTCATTGCTCAGATATCAATATAATAAAACGATGTGCAAAATAATATCAATTATTATAACGAATTGAAAAGTAGGATTATTTTTGAATACGTATTGTCGAAACTGACCGACCGCTTAACTAACCGACAGATTAACATACTAACTGACCCTTGGTCGCATTTCTAATCGTGTTTTGTAAGGAATGTGTAAAGAGATTTTATTTACAATTAGACGTATAATTTCTTTACTCCTGATCTAGAGCTGGTTTATGATTTTAAGCATGGAAAAATGCTTATTATTTCATTCAAATTGACGTATTCTCACAGCTACAAAGGAAATTATGTGCAAAAATACCAGATGTACAGCTGATTTATGATTTTAAGCATACGAAAACTCTTATTATTTTGGTTTTTCCAATAACTATAAGGCAAAAAAAATTTTCGTCTTTAAAGTGAAAAATTCATGTGAACATCAAGCGGGACCAGTTTAGCTTCATTTAGATTTACTGCTAAGGTTTAGATAATTTCTTCGCCATGAGGAAATACTACATGATAGATGGATTTTGTTTTAACGAATTAACGAATAGTTTCAATGCAAACGAAAGAATTCTGTATCAGTTATTTGGAACATCGAAATTGGCTGATTTTCACGTTATTATTTCCAGTTTTTATGCTAATAATTTTTTTTCTAACAACTATATTCTCTACCTCTTAAAATGAGAGGTCAGGAGATGCAAAGTTCGTACTAGAAAAACGGCACACTTCATATGTGATGAACACATGAGGGTTTCACCGGTACCAGACGTGCATATATGAAGTGTTGGAAGGAGACCCTCGTACCGGCTGTGCTTAGTGCAATAACCAGGCAAACACAATTCAGACTACTCTCTCGCCGAGAGTTTTAAATTTCAGTGGCAGTTTCAGTAGAGAAAGACTTGGAGAATTCCAGGTTTACATTTTATGCTGAGTTGTGTAAGCCTGGTTTTTTTTTGGTAGGGGTCAGTTGTATAATGCTGTTATTACTTCTCATGCTATTATGATGATTTTTTTAATGGTGATGCCTAATTTGATTGGGGGGTTTGGTAATTGGATGGTGCCTTTAATGTTAGGAGCTCCTGATTCATTCGTCAGTTTTCATTCGTCAGATCCCGATTCATAATCCCTGTCTACTCTTTGGCAGGCGAGAACCTGTCATGCCGATAATGGCAAATGCCTGGGCTTCTTGTACATCCCGAATGAGGTTTATATTTTGATTTTACCTGCTTTTGGTATTGTAAGTCAGAGTAGTGGCTTTTTATGATTCTGTTTTTTTTTTGTTTCTTGGTTGTTTTTTTTATATTTTTGTTGTTGAATGATTATATTAGCTACTGAAGATATCGCAAGAGTAGTAATGCCCTTCGATTTCTTTTTGCTTTTTTGAAAATTTTTTTAAATGAATTTTTGAGTTGGTGAACATTATAGAAAACAATTTAAATTCGTTTCTTTGAGTTTTATTTTGTTATTTTATTGATTTTCGTTTCAGAACTTGATAATCCCAAAAATTGGTGATCCAGTTCACAGATTTGTAGTGACTGATGATAATAATTTATCAATCCGACAAGTTGGCCCTGATAATATTGGCCTATACACTTGTACAGCTAGTAATGGCATCAATGAACAGTCTGTATCTGGCTGGCTGAATATTATTGGTTCAGTTGTTATAATCTAAATTTAATCCGTTGTTTTCCATTTCATTTCCGTTCAGTTGTTCCTCTTTCATTTGAAAATGCCCGCTGTTTTTGAAGAAAATTATATGAATGATATCTTTGCAGAAAAACCTTCTATGCCTCAAATGGTAGTAGCGGAATTAATGAATGAAACAGTACCACCGCGCATTCGAGTTTTATGGAAAATTGGATTCGATGGAAATTCACCGATTATTAAACATTATATTGAAATGCGAAGTTTAGGCCCGTTGGATCTGTGGTCAGATTGGGAGGTTGTGATCGATAACATTCCATCTGAATTGTGTTGCGAAGCCTCTATTGGTAAGGCTTTTATTAATAGTTTAACAAATAACAGATAGATAGCAGATAGCAGTAGCATTTTTGTCTTCATTTTTTCGTCTATAATCAATTTTCCACATCTATTTCGATTTATACTACCTTATTTGATATTTGGTTTAGCATGCCACTCCGACCGCGTGCCACCTGATTTTAGGAGCCTGTTTATTTAAAAGCCCTCATCTTTTCTGGTTAAACTCACTCCGCTTGTCGCATTAGACAAAAATGAATCGCTAACATTGCCGGGACAAATTCACTCCTATAGGGAATAGCGCTCAAGCGCTCATGAATTGAGTAATAATCCACTGAGCCATTTTATCCTCACGATATACTACTGCAACATTCATTAAGATGTATAGTAATATAATATATTTATATATTTATGTAAAATTTAGATAATTTGAAACCGTCATCTATATATGAATTCCGAGTGGTAGCTGTGAATCGTCATGGACCTGGTAAACCTTCTCTTCCATCTAATAATATTACAATGCCTCAGCAACCACCAGCTGCTGCACCTCGAAATGTCGCTGCAAGGTTTGAGTAGGCCTATAAATTTTACTGTGCTTTTTGTCGAAAATTCTCTCTTTTTTTTCAATCAAATTTCGATTTAAATATATGAAATGTGAATATGAGAAATTCTTTACAGAATTTCTTAGTAACTCAACTCATCCTTCAACTAGCAACCTTGAACCGATTTTGTGTAAATGGATTTATTTTTATTTATTATGGAGTTTTTATTATTTATTATGGAGTCATGAATGAAGATTTATTGCAATTCTTTTAGTGCAAGAAGTTGGTCTTCGATCATGGTGCAGTGGCAGCCACCTCCATCGGAACAATGGAATGGTGATATTCTTGGATATATAGTGCGTTATCGTTTGGCAAACTATGCTAGTTTACCGTGGATTGAAAAGAATATAAGTAATGATCATGCAAGAAATGTGCCTCTGGAGCATTTAATAACGTGGCGAGAATATGAAATCCAAGTCGCAGCTTATAACGATCGAGGAATGGGTGTTTTTAGCAAACCTATCTATGTAACTACTCTTGAAGGAGGTCTCAACTTACATAATCACTGTTAAAAATTGAAAATATTTTTCAATTATTTGTGCTTCAAAATTCATCATACTAATGTAGGTGTGTCTTATAAGTTATATTCATTTCCTAAATTTTTTCAGTACCAACTCAACCTCCTCGTGATGTGAAAGTGCGCGTTATAAATTCCACTGCTATATCAGTTTCATTCAGTCCTCCCGAACAGCAAGTGATTCCTGGCGTGAATCAAGGTTACAAAGTATGTCGCACAATAAATGGATAACAATTTATGAGAAATATCTTCTGAACCAGTGGACTTTTTTGCATAACATTTTTTTCGGAATTTTTATGTGACAGTGAGGAAAAGTGCCTTCCGATAACTTCTTGTTCGAAGAGAATGTGGAATTTAGGCACAGGGGCCATCTGAGTCACATTACCGCAAAATATGGATTCATCTTGTCTAAATATAATTTGCTATTATGGTGAAAAATAAAAAATTTAGATCGAAATATGGAAAGGTGCAGTTTCTTCAACATCACTTTTCCGTCAAATAAGAGTACTTCCATATGAGAATCCTAGTGAAGTTATTGGAGACCTCGAAAAATTTGGTCATTATAATGTGACAGTCTTATGTTTTACTTCTCCAGGTGATGGTCCACGCAGCAAACCTGTCGAAGTTATCACATTTGAAGATGGTAAATGCTCATAATTTCTGCAATTTAAGTCGTAACAAATACAATGCATTAGCAAAGAAACTCAAATTGATTTTTCTCATTTGAGTAATGCCAATGTTGAAATATTTTACAAAAAAAATACTGATGATGTTGTAGTACCAGGAGCCGTGAGAAATATACGTTTCGATGAAATTTTATTCAATATGGCAACCATAATATGGGATCCACCACTGGAACCTAATGGAGTTATTACTAGTAAGATTTATTTTAGATACAAGTGACACAGTTGAACAAATGAGCAAATATTTGAAAAAGTGCAAATACAATAGGATGTTGTTTTGTGCATTGGCCCATTATTGCGTCTAGTTATTTTTCATTTTAAAGCATATATGTATTAGAATATACGATTCGTTATCGGGAACTTTCATCGGATGAGAAACATTTGCTTATTGCGAAGCCTTCTGCTCGAAATATCACTATCGAAGGCCTCAATGCTTCAACTACTTATATTATTAATATACAGGCTTCAACAAAAATTGGTGCAGGTCCAAGTCTAAAAGCGAAATTTCAATCTGGAATACCTCCAAGTTAGTTTAAATTGCAGTGAGAATTTGTTTAACATTTATATACCTCTTGACATTTTTTCAAAATTGGTCATATTGTCTTATTCTGCAATCCTATTTGAATATTGATATTGTTATACTAGTATACAAAACTCACCAAACTTTGATTATGCTCTCTAGCATCCTCAATGCTTCGCTCTAATTCGTATTATCCCTCCTTAGTACCATCAGCTCTCGTCATGTTTTTGCGATTTCACTTATAGTTTATTTTTGCAGCCGCTGCAAAAGTAGTATAAAGTGAGGGGCTAAAGGAATACAGTAGTGTTGACGAACTTATTAGGATAAAATTAATGTTTTTATGCTCACTTTTTGTAATTTGTAGTACTCCCCGGACGCCCTTCTTCGTTGGTAGTAAATGGAATTAAGGCTCGTAATGTTACGTTGGAATTTGTGCCTGGATTCGATGGTCATGCCCTGATTAATAAATGGATAGTAGAAGCTAAAGTTGGATCATCTTCGATTTATATACCTATTTTTAATATCAGGTGATCATTAATTCGCAAAAATATTCGCAAGAATGTAGTAGGAATATTCCGAATTTTTACAACTTATGGATTTTTTTTTGGTTTTAGCTCTCCTAAAAGTCACTCGATTATCGTGCAAGGATTGCGGCCATATACAAAATATCGATTGCGATTAATAGCCGAAAATTTGAGAGGGCAAAGCCTGCCCTCGGAACCTTCGCAAGAATTCCAAACAGCAGAAGCAGAACCAGAGGCGATATGGGACCACATTGTCGTCGAACCTCTTTCTGCAACATCTATTGCTATAACATGGCTACCTTTTACTTCTGTACAATGGAATGGAATACCACGAGGTTATATTATAATATATCAGCCTATCGATGTCGGCATAACTGAACTATCTTCTAAATGGGTTAATTTTTCATTAAGCTTAATTCCTTCATTTATTTTTTGCATATCTTATTTATAGTGTTTAAATATTGCCTAAATATGTTCAGACTGAAATTCGTGTGTCAAACACCAAAGCCGCTGATTTTATCCTCTCAGATCTATTGCCATATAAAATATACGCCTTTAAAATGGTCGCGGAGAACTCATTTGGTCGAAGCGTAGCATCTGAAATAGTTAATGCAACAACTTATGAAGCTGTTCCTTCTGGTATTCCCAATAATATTGAAGTAGCTGTAAACGGTGCAGGAAGCATTACAGTATCATGGCAATCTTTATCACCTCATCAAAGTAATGGAGTAATATGGGGATACAGGGTGTTCTTTATTTTCTTTTTATCTTCTTTTTTTACTCTTTTATTCTTTTTCATTGTAGTTTTGGATTCATGAAATATGTGAGATAAATATTCTTTTCTTTAGGTTCGAGTGATTCCTGAAAATAGATTTCTTCATTCTGAATTTACGCAAGAGAAAGTGGTGGAAGATCCTTCTTCTTTGCATGTCTCTTTTTCGAATTTGCGTCCATTTACTTTTTATCATGCTTTTGTCGCTGCATTTAATATAATTGGTTATGGCCCTGAAAATTTTCCTGCATGTCGTTTTCAAACTTTGGAAGATGGTAATATCTACATTTAAAAAAAAATCAAAAAATTTTTTTTTTACATCTTCATGTATCTAAAGTCTAAATGAAAACGAATAATCATATAATTGTTATTTATATTATTATATTGAGCATCATTTTCGACTCCTGCATCCCAGTATTCTAGCATTTTGTGAAAGTTAATTAGTCCTTTTGTATAATTTTTTTCACTGTATATTTTTGCATACAATCAACTTTTTTACCCAACCCATTTATATCTCCATAACTCGCTATACAGTTTGCTACAGCCGAACTTTAAACCATAAAATCATAGAATGATGAGGAGCAACCTGAAGAGGACTTGAAACATTAAGGTAAGATAAGAATGAGGGATAAGAATATTAGGGATTGTGTAAAGCAAAATTCGAAGTGATCATAAGGTAAAATAAGTTTTGAGAGGTTGTTTTTGTAGTAGGACGAGTTTTTATTAACTTTATTTTATTGTGTTTTATTAATTAGGTTACAATTTTATAATTTGGTTTGAAGTATGAAGTCATACTTTCCTAGTAATAAATAGATAAAAATGAAATAAAATATGAATAATATAATATTTCATATGAAATAAAAATTATTCATTGAAAAGTAAAATTCGGATGGTTAATTCAAATGAGATTCTTCTGGAGGAAAGTATGAAAGAGTTTGTATGCATGATTTCAAAAAATTTCAAAAGAAGGGCTAATCAAGTCTTCGCTGGGCCTGCATAAGAGGGATTTTGAACGCAAAAATTTTATAATTATATGTGGGTTCAAATAGTGAGAACAGGAGTGATATATGCCAATGACGTGACTTTGAACTACTGAGATATCAGGTGATGTGAAAAATTCTCATCTTTAAGTGATCTTTAAAGTTAGTGAAACCAGCTGAATCAACAGTGGTCCTTGAGAAGAGGGAAGTTATTTCTTAGTATCATTTATTTACAGTTATTTCAACTTATTATTTCTTTTGCTTTTAGCAATAAATTAATTTAGCATTAAATTATTTTAAGTTCCCGGTGAACCATCCAATGTTTCGTTTTCATATATCAGCGAAAATGAAGTTCGCCTGAAATGGGATCCTCCATACGAACCAAATGGAGCGATTATCCATTATTCTGTTGCTTACTGGAAGGTATATGTTGATGTTGTTATTGGATGAACTTGAACGGAAAAAAATCGAAATATTCATTTAATATATTTGAGATTATTGCAGTTCAGCAAAAGGAATGATACAACGAAAATTCAATTGCCACATAATATTTATGGTTTCTCAGCTACTGGACTTTCAACAAACACTAAATACCTGTTCAATATAGCTGCAGAGACAAATGTGGGCTGGGGACCACCGAATGTAGTTGCTGTTGTGACTACTTATGAAAGAAGTAATTTTTAATTTTTTGTATTCTAAACTAATTTTGTTGGGATTCCTTTTTCGCCGAGCAAAAATTCTGCTCTTGATGATTATTATTTAAGGACCACCACCAATGCCTCCAGTTCCAGAATTAGACAAGGCGCAACCTCCATCATCTAATAAAATTGCGGTTAAGTGGATAAATCCGTCATTAAACTCTGATATCTCGCCGCTGCGCTTTATAAGATTTGAATACCAAGAAAAAAATAAAAATTGGATCCAGTTTTCTAGACTGATTTCAGGAGCAGCAAATAGAACAATAATTAAAGGGTTTGTATATTGCATTGTATCGATTTGCAAATGGTTCATTTATTTCGGTCTGAAATAAGACTTGCTTTTTTTTTTATGCTAATCAATTTTAGATTGAAACCGAATACATTTTATCGTATTCATATGCGCTTCCATAGTGATTTTGGCGAAAGTGATTGGTCTACTGAAAGTAAATGGATAAAAACTGCTGAAGATAGTTAGTTTGTGCTACATATTCGCATCCTTTTTTTCATTAATAGATGAAGAATTAAGATGAATTCGAAGAATTAGGAGTTAACATTATTATAAAATTTACATTTTTGATTTTTAATTTAGGTCCTTCTTCACCACCGGTTTCGCTAAAGGCAATACCTTATGAGTCGTCTTCTATTTTGCTTTCATGGAACTCTCCTCCAGCAAGTGATTGGAATGCCGATTCAATAAGTTACCGTATAATTTATCGTCAATACCCATCAAACGACGAATTTCAACAGGAGGAAGTGGTAATTTCTGAACAAGGCAATTTGGAATTGCAATATATTATCAAAAATCTGCCGAGGTTTCATATATTTTTCCATATGGTCGCCATTTATATGAAAATAGTTGAGTATGAATGAATTTTTTGAAAAATGGCCTACAAATCACGTAATTTTATTTTTTTCTAAGACTTGCTTCCACCATCTCTAATTAGTTAGATCTATTAGCTTATCAAAAAAAATAAATTTCGTCAAGGAGATCGTTGAGAGATTGAAAAATAGAAGTACTGGTGAGTCGCCATCATCATGTGAATGTTTGTTCTTCCCAGAAATCAAACCATAAGTATATGCGAAATGAAAGGAGTAAGACCAATGATCCATCGTCAATTATCATAATATAAATGTAATTAGTTAAAATAATAATGAAAGTTTTTTAGTTTTCGTCATTATATAATAAAAATGCAGTCGACTAATACTAAAGGTAGCAGTCCGTTATCTACACCTATCTTTGCATATGTTGGCTTTTCTATTCCGAAACAAAGAATTACAAATATCGTAGCAAAAGCGATTTCGTCTACATCAATCAGTATTCATTGGGATAAATGGGTGAATGATCCATATGATATAATTTTTGGCTTTAAAATACGATATATACCACTATCTATTGTATCAGATGAAGAAAATTTTGAAGAGATGTTAGCCACAGTAAATAATTCCATAGTCATTACCGATCTTCGCAAATATACCGAATACCAGGTATTTACTTTTTTCTTGACAACTGTTGTGCTTAATATTCCACTTCATATTGTCATTACTTTTCCATTTTGTTATTTTGTGCAAGCCTTGTTTTTTATTGTTTTATTTTTTTTTTATTGAAAATAATTTGTTTAGGTTTCCTTGTCAGCATTCAATCGTGCTGGTGAGGGACAGTTGTCAAGTACCCGGGTTCAGACTTTTGAAGATCTTCCTGGACCTGTTTCAAATCTAACTTTTACTGATATATTGCTTGATTCAATTAATGTTAGTTGGTTACCGCCAAAACAACCAAATGGCAAACTGCTAGGCTATATAATTAATTATAGAACATATAAACAAAAGGTTTGTTTTTACTAATCAATTTTCGAATATTTCTTTTTCTCTACCTTACAAAAAGAATTTCAGGAAGAATTAAGGAAGGAAGTGCGAGAAAAAACACGATATAATTCTTTCTTAGCTACAAATTTGGAAGAAAATGTTGTATATTTTTTCTCAGTCAAAGCAGAAACGTCTGTTGGTAGCGGAGAAGAGGTCATTGCAAATGTAACTACTGGTACAAACCCTGGTAAATCTTTTTCAAAGCCTCATTTCACTTTTTTTTCTCTTCTCTTTTTTCTTTTTTATTTTTATTTATGGTTCTCGCCAGTCAGATCTTTTTAATTTAAAATTTTTGGTATAGTTTTGATTCAGTTGAGTAATTTTATATTCCAGGTTCTCCCGATTCTCCATCGAAACCGAACATCATTCCTAGGCAAATATCTGTTCGACTTGAATGGGAGAGTGGTCAACCAGGGCAATATGTTATCAAAGGTTATATAATTCAGACAAAAAGGATTGCTCATGCCATGACAACGGTTAGATTTTATTGGTCTATTTTTCCAATAAGATTGAGATTTGTAAGATTTTCATTGTTCACTGAAGACATTGATGGAGTAAAGATAATTTTGATAATTTTTAATTTTAACTTGCAGTCCATATCTGCGGGAAATGTGGAACATTCTGGGAAAGAAATGGTTGACAATAGTCATCCTTATCATGTAATTGGGGAATGGATTACAATTACGAATTCCCATAATGTAGATCGTCTTTATGAAGTTAAATACCGGGATTTACAACCTGCATCCTTTTATGTTTTCCGAGTTTTTGCCCGGAATTTAATCGGTGTTGGTTATCCAAGTCCAGAATCTGACCAGTTATATGTGCCAGGTTAGTGATTTTTTCTAATCTTTGTTTTTTCATATTTTTGTTCCTTCTGTCTTGAACTTTTCTGTGGAAAATCGGAGCTTCAGTCGGAAATATATGCAATATATGCAATTTTAGCATTGTTACCTGAAGAACCATTTTTCATAAAGTGGTGGTTCATTATTATCGTGACTGTGATTATATTGATTGTTATCGCCATTGTTATTGTGCTATTATATGTTACTGGCAGCCGATTCAAATATGAAAAAAGAAACTCTGTAGATTCTTCTCAATTTGCTGATGGTGGTATTGTCAGTTACGAATTAAGGCCTCCAAAACGAAAGAATCGGCTTCATGTTAAGTCAGTTTGTCAATTTGTTTCAAAATTTGAAAATTTCATCGAAAAAATCTTTTTTTTTCGCCAGCGATTTGGTGATTGTGCTAATGCTTATAAACCTGGCTTTTTTGATAGCAGCTTTCCTTTTGTTGGAGGTAAAAATTTTCATAAGCTTTGATGCTGGGGATAATCTCCAGAACCATTCCGCTATTTTGCTTCTTTTCGTTTTTATTATTTATTACTATTTAATCTATTTATTACTATAAGTGAGGTTAGCTTTTCTACGGAAAGATTCATTACTATCGTGACTATGATCATATTGACTGTTGTGGAGGATATTATACTTTAATTCCCTTTACATGGTGTATTTTGTCAACATGAATCATTGTAATTTATATATAGAAAAGATCAACCGCTGCGGCCAAATACGAATACCTCTTGGGTGTCAGATTGTCGTGATCTTCCAGTTTATGGTGGCATAAATGGCGCGGATACTATTGGCATGTATGGTTCTTTGACTACACTTGGTATATCTAACAACAATTCGAATTGGCCTTATTTATCTGATTCTCCGCGACATAAAATGTCAATTGGAAATTTTACAAATCAGAATCGTTTATCTGACAATTTTTCAGTAAATGATTCAAATGGCGATAAAAGCGTAAATGAAAATGAAGAAGAAGAACCGGATATTGGTGGGTATTTTTTTTTAATTTTAGTTAGTTTTTAATTAGTTTTTAATTTTAGTTTTTTTCAATTAAAAATACTTTCCGATTTCGATTATTTGAATTTTCAACCTAAAGAAAAATCATAATAATAAATAATAAATAATAATATTTATATAATAATATAATAAATATAATAAATATTACACACTAACTTCTTCAGCTCTCACCATTACTGATTAGGCTCCGCTGGCTGTAACGGTAAGACGTCTCGAAGCTGTTTGATCCGACATCATTCAGTGTCAGTCCAGGTCTTGATTGATCCTCCTCGCTTTTGAAGCTATCCATCAAGGGGTTTAGCAAGTAAAAGTATATCAACTGCTGTGGTGGGCGACGAAAAAAGTGCTGAAAAAATTTTCTCGGGAATATTTAATAGGCTATTTCCTCAATAATTTCACAGTATTCCTTGTTACCATTCTTGATGGTATGGAGGATTTGAATGCAGAATTGCTTTGCTCCAGTAATCTGATATTATTTCTTTCTTCCATACCAGAGAGTACATTTGTTAAAGGTGTGACATGAGGGACAACGGATAACATTTGAAGAGTTCTACCAGAAAACCATCTTCTCCAGGAATTTTTTGGCCTTATGCTTATGGATTACAAAGATTACAAAGATTTCCTGTACTGTCGGGCAAATATTTATAAACATGGTTCGACGAATGAATCAGGTACAACAGGGACAACAGATGGGGTGGTTAAATTTGGCCTCAAAGAATTCTTTTTATATGGCGGTCCTTAATAATATTAAGAGGGACATTATTGTTCGTATCGTTTCACCGATCGTTTCCCCAGTTAATCGCCTAATCGAGGCGCCTTCTCCATTTTCAAGGCTCTTCGCCACATTAACGATTTCTGCTGTCTCTGTAATTCTCCGAAGAATTCGATAATTGGAATCTTCTGATATTCGAGCTTTAGCAGTCTTTTCAAACAATTAAATAGTTACTTTCGACAGCGCATTTCTTATTAGCATATCCTGGTGTGGAAATAGCTGACTTTCAGAGATATTCCTTCAGTTAAGACTAGTACTCATCTACCGTTCCAGAGATTGTTACTTATGTTCATTTTACTGAGGTGCTTTAGTAATTCTTACTTCAAATACTTATTGTCTCCGAATTTTTTAGCTTGAGGTAGTTGGAGGATTTGATATTTTTTCTTGCGAGTTATCAGTTTTATGCGAATCTTGGCTTGGACCATTACATGGATCCATTAAGGTTACCAGTTTCACCGTCCTATAGAAACGACTATCTAGTACGGAACTCTTCCAAAGGCGACTGACTAAAATATAATTAATCTGGTTGGATTATTGGTTATCTGGGGAGTTCCACGTGACTGAATATCTTCGATGCCGGAAGATATATATATATATATATAAAGTTGTATATTAGTTATAATTTAACAATAGAAAGTACAGAAAGTTACTACTTTTTAGCAGAGTGATGAAGGCATTCTCCAGATGGTTATACGGCCGTTCACCGCCTTTCTATCAATAGCAGATCGAGCTTTTTCAGATTTAAAAATCGCCATACCCTTTCGCCCGAGTTATTTGATTGCAATAAGTATACGATGGTATTTAGGAAGAATGTGGACAGCAATTGCTTGGCTTGTAATGTCCATAAGCGAGTCGAGTTCCAAGCAGCTGGCCAATACCTCGCCGCATATGAAAAGTGCCTACGGATAGTTTCTTATTTCTTATTTCCTTGGCAGATTTAGAGCAATCACCCTGACTTGCGAGGACATATTTTCAAGCCTTGGGTCATTTCACTACGATCGGATTATATACTTATCGTATGTACCTCCAGGCTGGGAGAATCCGCGCTGGAAGACGTGGATGTCATGTCAACGTGATATTTTACCATAGAGTCATTTGAGGATAGAATTATAGATGCCTTCAGCATCCACCTGCGTTCTTGAAACCATGACAGGTTTACTCGTATCAAAAAATCAAAGATGAAGAATTAAGGAAAAAATTAAAGAAGGATGGGAAATAAAATAGAAAATATAAGAAATTAAATAAAATAAAACAAATAATAATGTAAATAATAGAAAATAAATTTTGAAAAGGAAATTTATTTTATCGCAGGATTGAATTTGCTCAAAATTTTTCGAGAAAAATTCATAGAAATAATAACATTAATAATAAGCATTTATCGGCTGGTACTACAAAGAAGATTGTCAGCACCACTCACATTCAGTCTACGAATTCCCAATTAATTTTAACATAATTTTATTTTAAGTTTATAAATTTAAAGAAGTCTTCATGTTTTAGTGAAATTTTCAGCTCAACATTACGATCAGGAAGATATATACCGGCATACTTGGAGAAGAGCACGAGCCGAAGCTATTGCAGGCTCAATATCACCTCAGGTCCTTTCAGCGTCATTAAGGCCGTCAAGATCGGCATCTAATGAAAGTACTGCGTCAGAAGTAATGACAGTTGCTAGCATACGTGGGAAATCTGGTGGCGCTTTTGTAAATGGATTTTCGTCTTTCGTTTAGCAACCTTTTTTTTTTGAAATCCTGGTGATTCGATGTATTTTCAGGGAAATATAAAGCTTTTGCCCTTAGCTGAGTAATCATAATTTCGATAATTGTTTTATCGTGCCTTTGTGAAATGATTTCTATATTTCAGTGCATTCACTGAACATATGTTGCAATTATTTATTATTGTTTTTGAACTCAGTTGCCATTTAAGGCAAATTTTTATAAAGCATAGCACCAAATGATGCTTTCTTTGGTGATAAGAATTTTCGTCTAAAACCACTCGTTTATTACTGACAGTTTATTTCTCTAGTGAAAAGGCTGTTTTTAACTGTAACTTTTTAATTAATTTCTTTTCCTGCTGCGGTTCTTTTTATTTGAATTAGTTAACTTAAATTTAGTGGGAGGAATTTATGGGTTCAAAAAATATCTATTGAAAGGGAAAAGATGCAAGAATTACTCATTAAATTAAATTTATTAAGAACGAATGGATTTCCCTAACTTTTCTTTGATAATTCTTTACCTCTGCTGTGAAATAAAAATATTTAGTCGAGGATCATATGTTGTTTTAGGTATTCATTTTTCACGATTCGATCTCATTTTCTCTTTATTTTTCTTTTTTTTTACATATATTTATTGTTATTGTAAATATTTTGTTACACAAATTTCAAAACATCTCAAAACAGTGAAATTTTTAAAATTCCAATTCTTTATTAATAAATGCGCATTGTGCACTAATGCTTTCTGATAGTTAGTAAATTCACAAAATTAAGATGAAGAGGCACAATTTAAAAAATATTTATTTTATCGGAGAAGTATCACCGATTTTTTTTTCTTCAAGAATCCTCACCATTACTGGTTAAACTCGCTCCACTGGCTTGTCACATTGAGCAATATACCAGGAAGTCCCTTCGCTACAACTAGAACTACAGATAAGTCGCCAGCATCACCCGGGCTTGGTTTCCGTGCAGATTTACTCTGCGGAATCGAACCTCAGCATCGGCGCTCCTAACTGAGCAACAACCCACTGGGCCATTCTATTCCCACACACACCAATTAGATGTAATTCGTCCGGAATGGTACCACAACCTCACAGTAAATAATTTAGCTTTTATGAATACTTCCGCATGCTTATGAAATCTCTCTTAAATATAATTAGTCGCATATTTCTGTATTTACGAAAGAATTCGACGAGAAGAACGAATCTGAAAGGAAAGAATTAAAGTATTGCGAGTGGAAAGATGTGGAAGAAGAGAGTTTTTAGTAGTTGACTTTGAGATTGCCTTGTTCGCTCATTCAACCACTAATTTATAAGGAAAACGTGGACGGAGAAAGATGAAGAAAGAAGGGAATCCCGCAAGTTGTGCACTGCTGGCTATGGATTAGTAATGTGAGTTCGAACCTTCACCATCGTATAATCAAACTTGCCATTCAAAGCGGACCCAAAGCGAACTACGGGTACCCACCGGTGCTTCTGCTCTCAAACGACGAAACAGCCTCACCAAGCCATTCCCTTAAGCAAGCCGAAAAATGAAATTCGATACAGAAGAAAAAATTGCGAAAACATTCAAAAGGTGCCGAACTGCTAAGTTTTAGTGGCGCGAAATTTAAATTTGAAACTCCCGGAATTCGAAATTTTCATATTTTTCGGTTATTTTAAAAAATAAAATTTAAATAATGTTGGAGTCAGTTGGTTTTTATTTGTGGGAATGCTTAAATGCTTTCAGTGTTTTAATAATTTTTATTTGTAAAACTTCAGAGAATAAATCCATTTTCAAAGAAATTGTTGGGAAAATAAAATTTTATTAGAATTATTTATAGGAAAAATTTTAATTTACCATTTCTTCATTGGGTAAAAATAATTGATTATTTTCCACCTAAAGCGTCGGTTTTTTCTCGAAACTGTAATTTCGCGCACTTGTGGAATCGCAGAATTCGGAAATCTGCTGGCGAAGAAGATATGAATGAAATAAGTAAACAGCAAATCAAATCTTCGATACAGGTTCGTTAATTTTGCTTGCCGCGCGTTTGTGCTATTTATTCAGAGATGTACAGGCGGGCGTGGAGCACGCGGAAGTCCACTGTGTTCGCCTGGATCGCCTCTTCGCCTTCCTAACGCTGTTCGACATTCCTAGTCATCGCATCGACCGCAAGGGGGCGAAGCAGTGGAAAAGAGGATCGAGTGAAGCCGCTAATGGGTTGTGCCAAAAGAGTTCAGCGGTGCTTGTCGTTAGAGGAAGGCATCAGAGTCGAAGGTTTTAAGGGAATGCCTAACAAGGTTTTCCATAAAATTTAACTGGTTTTGGAGAAAATATTCGGGCAATATTCTGAATTTCAAATTCAGGAACTTAAATCCATACTGAAATTGCTATAGGTTTTTTCTGAAAAAAATTTCTAAAAACAGGATAATCTACAAATTTGTTATATAGAATTGTCCAAGATTTTTTCAAGTTCCTTATTATTATTATTATTTATTATTATTATTTATTATTATTATTTATTATTTATTATTATTATTAATTATTAATTATTATTATTATTATTATCATTCATTAATTTTCATCTTTTTATTTGTTAAATTTTCATTACAAATATTTCTATATAATTTTTATTTCTTTACACATTTTTTAATTTGCATTTACACTTATAATTTGGCAATTTCATGGATATTTTTCGCATTGTCCGATTCAAATTCCTATGTTTATTGCAAATAAACTTTATTTAAAATATTATCAAACTAAAAATTCTAGCTGAAATCATGTGGACTTTTATTGTAAATCGTTTTTTAAAGGAATATTTTCGAAAAATCTTCGAAACAAAAAATGGATCAAGGCGATTTGCAGATTTCAATGGGCGTCTCAAACTAATTTTTACAAATGTATTTTGATTTAATTTAAAGCATTTAAAGCATTTAATTTAAGCATTTAACGTAATTAAACGGTGGTTCTCAGTGGGGGTCATATTATCCCCACGTGGGATACAGAAAAAATCAGGAGGAATGGGGACAGTGGGGATCACCAGGAGGTCCGCGGTGACACAAGGAGGTCAAGTTACAAATTTGAATGTAAAAATTTATTTTTATTTTGAAAAATTTTATTTCTATGTGTCAAATAGCAATCTCAATTGAAAATTGCATAATAAAAAGGATATAGCTGTGGAAAAAAAGAATTTTTAAGAAAAGAGAAACCTTCGGTTATTTCGGTTATTTAACGAATTTCCAGACAAACTTACTTCTCATCAGCCACAGCGTCACATTAAAAGTTTACGTTCAAACAGTATTATACTTTGAAATTTCAAAATTTCATTTTTAAAACATTTTTTTCGAGAATTTAAAATGCAATTTGTGAGATATTTTTCCCTACTTTGTAATCTATTTTTTTGTTTGAAGTCGTATAAAACATTCGGCAATGTTTACTTTGCTTCGAGTGAAGATGTCGAGATCAGTTCAGCTGGAATTTCACCAGCTTATCAGTCGATTTTGCTATTCCATAATTTTCCGAATGAAATTGCTAGTTAAATTTGCCGAAATAAAGATTGATTTATCTTTTTTTTTCTGCCTTGGGTTGAATGAAACCTTTTATCATTTAGTTTTTATCATTTTGAAGTCCTCAGTCCTTTCAATAATGAAACTTTCTGAATGAAAGGAGCAAGTTTGAGAAGGCCGTGAGGCAAAAAAGGTTGAGAACCATTGCTTTAAAAAACTTTCGAATTTTATAACCTTTGCGGTAGGCCTTATTCTATAAAATTCTAAGATAGTTTTTTTAAAGGCAAAATCAGTAGATGGTGGAGTCGATTATTTTTTATCTTCAACTCGTTTTGCTATTGAAATGGTGTGTGCAAAGCAAACGGAAAGGGAAAAAAGGAAAAATTGTTTAAAAATGATTGCGAATTTAGCACTCGAATTACAATACAATGGAATGCCTCAATTACTTTTTTCATTAATTGGATTTTGTTCTGAGGTTTTTTGAGATTTTTCTGGCAATTTTCATTTATACTTCACATTTCAATTTTCATTTATACTTCGGAATTTAATCTGGAAATCTTATCAGATCTGAAGTTTTTTTATCAGTTAAATCCTAATTTGGGCTTAGGCTTAGTTGGAAACATAATAGTGGTTTTTTGAGCACATTTAAATAAATTTTATAGAATCCACTTGTCCGAGTTCAAGTTATAAAAGCTCTGTTTGCCATTCAAAACGATAAAACTGAATGTGAAAGTCGTCTTTTGCCTAAACAGTGTTAGCAATTAACTTCTTCTTTATCACGAAAATTTTTTTTACTAGCCAATTTTTTTTTCTCTCATTCTTTCTCAGATTCATGGATTTTCTTTCACCTTTTATCTTTATTTTTATCTTTATTTAAAATATATTGTTGTTGCGATATATTTTAAAATTTATCGATAAGCAGTCCACATTTGTAAACTCATAATCGGCTTTTTGCAGTGCTAACTTTATATCTGCATGATAATTCAAGGGAATGTCGCTTAGCTGCAGTTCAAACTCTTCAGCTTATCTCAAAGGAGGATATAACAGATATGGCAAGAATTTAGCAAAGAAATTTTCTTGTTTAGATTTTCAGAGGTAAGCTTTTTAGGTCCTCTCCATTAAAAGATTTTTCAGATCGATGTCGCTTTGGCTGATCGTAATGCATCGGTTAGAAATGCAGCAGTTTTAAAATTAATTAACTTGGATCTTATGTCTCTTTCGGTTACTCAGCGCATGGATATAGTTCGATTACTGGTCTTCAACAAAGGTTGCAAAAAATTTATAATGATCTGGGCGAATGTTTAATTGCTGATAAGCAATTTTTAAAGTACACAATTGTTTCCACTAACATATCATGAGTTTGTGCGGTGATTCCAATGTATTTTTAAGTATTTTTGTTAGTAATATATTATTTCTTCTTCTAGCAGTTCACACGATTTGATAGGCTGACTCCACTGGCTACAAGGCTAAGGCATTTCCATGTATTATCCTAAAATTAAAATTAAGGCTTCAAAATATCTCAGAAAGATTTATTATTGATGCTGTATTTTAAAACAAAATGATAGAAAAATTATTCTTTAAAGATTTTAATTTTTTAATTTTGAAGAAAATTCAGATTCTGGTTGCAAAATGCTAAACACTCGTCTTTTTGATAAATGGTTAACGATGGCTAATCATGCGGATGATAGTGCTTCCAAAAAGGAGCCACAGAAATTGTCACCTTTGAAATTACTTTATTTTTTGGAACCAGTTGAAGAAGAAGAGGTGCTTATATAATTCATAATTTTAACTTTATTTATGGTTGGATTTTATATATATTCATTTATTCATTTTTAACTTATAAAACACTGTTCAGGTTAGTCGCAGGTTTATGAATCAGTTGCTTACTCATTGTCGTGAACTTATGTTGTTGACCAAAGTTCATCTTTACAAATTTGTGAAAGTCATCATTGGTCAAGGCGATTGTTTTGTTGTTTGTAGCCAGAATTATAAAGAGTTATTAAATAAGAAGTGAGTTTGCTTTTCTGATCTAAATTTTCTTCCAGGTTTTTTATAATTATAGTTATTGAGATTGGATTATATAAATAGAAAATAATAACACCTTTTTTAGCATTTCATCGAGGTATTTTTGAATTGCCATTTCTCTATATTTATCTCCTTAATATTTTTTTTATCGCTCAATAAGTTAGATATGACTTTAAAAATCGATGATTTTAAATTTCACGTAATTTTAAGAAACAAAACGAAGGCAAAATAAACCTTTTTTGTTAAACCTTATTTACTTTTTTATTTTAATTTTTCTGCTGCCTGTTTCATTTGAAATTATTTTCTTGCGACTTTTTCGTAGTTTTGATAAATAAAATTTTGTTCTGTCATATTTAGCAGCTTGTCTCCTTTTGAACGCGCGAATGCTATTTTTTTTTGGCAATGCTTGCTGGAGTTTTGTCAGTTGAACTCTTGCACTGAAGCTGATTGGTTTGAATGTAAATACCTACTTTTACCTACTCTGCGTACCTTTTGCGAATTCATTCATAAGTTAGTATAAATATTAATTTTTGCATATATTTTTCGAATGTTTTTTCCATTTCGTATAGTTTACATTCTTTAAATTAGTATTTTGCTTATATTTTTCCAGTGACTTCCCATTTATACTTCTATCAGTGATCGCTAAACCCTTAATAGATAGATTTCCATATTCTCCAAGTACCTTCCTTGATTGTACCTCTCACCTTACCATCAAGAGTCCTCATCATTACTAGTTAAACTCGACTCGCTGGCTTGTCGTACTAGACAAATGTATGAGGCTGTAGAAATACAGGTGGGTCGTCACCATCACCCGTATTTTTTGGACAGGTTTATTCATGCAGGAAATAGAACCTCAGCATCGGCGCTTTGAATTGAATTTAACAACCCACTGAGCCATTATACCCTATCATTGGACCTCTTATTGAAACTAAAATCGTGATATCCCACTTGGTCCTCATTCTTCAAGTACTTTGATGAAATTTTCACCAACTTTTTGACATATTAAATTTTCCGGAGTAATCATATTGTGCTTAGTTCAAAAAATTTTATCGTTCATTTTTGTGCCATTTTTTGCTTATCATGAACTGTACATTTCCTTTTACTGTTTCATTTATCTTTTATTTAAGGTTTTTACCTTTGGTAAACGATCAAGTCTTGGACAGCTCTGAGAGCATTCTAAATAATTTTTCGCTATTACATATTCTCATGATCATTCCTTTTTTCGATTTTACTGATGCTGTTGGACGGTGATCTTTTTATGATAATTTTCAAAATCTATGCTTTTTTTAAATGAATACTTTTTTTCATTTATTCAGTTATTCTCAATTTATCGTTTTATGGCGTTTAAGCGAAAATTTCAAATTTTAAATCTATTTCAGTTCAAATACGATTTGTTTTTTAATTTTTCGATTTATTTCAATTTTGTTAGTTTTAAATTTATTATTTCTACGAATTATATCTCTAGACAAAGTTTACGCTCGCTTCTTGGGTTCCTTTTAACAAACTGCAACTTGAATATATCTGTCAACATAGTGGATTGCTCCATACAATATTTATTCATTTATTTTTGGCCCTCATCAGCAGATAATGATGTATGCTTATAATTACTTTCTTTTTATTTCTCCGAAAAAATGCAAAATTTTTTTATTTAAGGAAGCTTTGAACAATATTTCTGATTTTATAAGCTACATAATGCATCGTTCAATCAATCCGAATGCAACAGTTTTGTCGGCTAACAATACTATATCATTAGTTAACGATTATAATACACTAGAAACTGATCCAAATGAGGTATATTTTCAATTTTATTTTAACGTTTTCATTTTTTTTTTATATTTTCATTTTTTCATTTTTTTACATTTTTTTATTTCTTATACTTCCTAATCAATTTGGACTTTTTGGAGTATTACGGAAGATTGAATAGCCTTTATTATAGCAAAATAAACTTATAGGTTATTGACGACATTTCTTTACTTCGATGCATTTTGATCATCAATTCGACGTTAAAAACAAATCGTTTCACGAAAATTAATTCAATTCTCAGAGGATTTCTTGAAAATTTGGTTAATTTTTTCCAAATTGATTTATTGTGTCATGGTTTCTTGTCATAATAAAGTGAGATAATTATCCTGGAAATTATCCAAACCAAACCAAACCTCTTAATTAAAAACCAAATTTTTACCTAAAAAGAAGGCATTCATGCAGCGAAATTTTTTGAAATTATATTAAAAAAGAAAAAAATTTTGAATGGCATTGCTGAATTGTTTTTAAAGATTGAAAAAGGCCTTCTTTGTCAAAATCTGAAGTGTCGAATGCTGGCTTTGGAAGCAATGGGCTTATTGGCTGTGCACGATCGACGTATAGCTTTCGAAAAAACGATCCTTATAAAAGACGCTCTTAAACTTGATGAAGGATTAAAGGTGAGTTTTTTTTGAATAGTTACAATGTTTTTTTAACCTTTTAACCTTTAATTTTTTAACGTTTTAACTTTTATTGTATCGGATAATAGTCTTTTTCAAATTTCAGGTGACTTTATTAGATGTGCTCTGCAATATATCTCTAGTACATGGTTATAAAAATGTATCTAATTGGTTTATAGGTAATATTAGTTTCAGCCATCCAGAAAACGAACTAATCAAAGTATTTGTCGATAATTCAGAAAACAGGGTACTATTATTGTTCTTTTTATTATTATTATTATTTTTATTCAATTCAATTATTTGTCTAGTTTTTGAAGGTCACAAATTTTTGTTATACAATTTAGATAAATTTAGTTTAAAAAACAAATAGGATATCAAAGATTAATTTCAATTGTTTCTCAGTTGAAAAAATTTATAAAAACTGATTCATTTTGTTTTAATTCCAACAATTAATTTTTATTTGTTTATTCATAGATTTCCTGGTGTATCTCAAATTAACCATTTATCCCTATAAATTTTCAAATTTTCAAATTTAGGATTTTTAGGATCCCGAAGTTCGCTTCACTGCTTGTTTGTCTTTATGCAAACTCATGATCCATGAAGTAAACCTGTCTTGGTCTAAAATATTTGCTGAACTTATGCTGAAGGCTTTTCAGCTATGCAAAAAAGAAGATTTTAAGATAAGAAATTGTATTATTACTTTTCTTTCGATTTTCGCAGAAACTAGCAGGTAATCTTGCTCTTCATTTATTATTGAGATATTTCAGGCTTGTTATTAAGAGGACACCTAGAAAACCAAAAAAATTTTCATGAAACAAAAAATAAGAATAAAAAAAGTAAAAATGAAAGTAAAAGAACAATAGTAAACATAATAAGAAATTAGCGCTTCAAATATTCGATACATATTCCCGCAGTAGCATAAAGGTGCAAAAATTGGCAAGATAATTTATCACTGAGAATCGAGACGTGGATTCGAATGAACACAACTCTTCATCAGGCGGCAGTGTCATCCAACAGGGAATAACAAAGGGGAGTAGAATGGTTCAGTGGATTGTTTTTAGAATTTGGAGTGTCGAACTCTGGTTGAGGTCGCACTCTCGGCAGAAGTAAACCTATCAAAAAATTTAAGAGAATTTGCTTAAAAAAGAAGCAAAAAGATCAATAAAATTGAAAATGTTTTATTAATTAATTTTACCAGTGCTAGAACTAAAAACTAAACTATATCATAAAAAAATTATTTATTATTCTTGTCCTCCATTTGAATTTTCTATTTGAACTTAACGAATTTCATTTCAGTGATCATCAAGCAATGCTGGTTGATGTTTTCAATGAACTCTTTAAAATCATTCATAATGATCCACTTTTGCGTTTAGATATAAGGCGATTAGGTCTATTCTTTGTACATGCAACAGCAGTGCCTGCAAAATATTCGATCGATGAGGTTATATTTCTTTTTTTTTTTAAAGCCCTCACCATTACTGGTCAGACTCGCTCCGCTGGCTTATTGTACTGAACAAAAATGCCAAGGAGTCCCTTGGCGATTGGCGATTTATTGGTCAGCCGAGTCACTAGCATCATCCGGATTCAGGTTTATTTCGGTTTATTCCTGCTAGAAGTAGAACCTCAGAATCGCTGTGAATTGAGTAACAACCCATTAAGCCATTCTATCTCCCCTTTTTAGTTGTTTGTCTATATTATTACTTTTAATTAATCTTTATAACCTAGGAAAAAAAATTTATTTTCCTATTAAACTTAAAATTAAAATTTATTTTCCTATAAAATTTATTTTCTTATTACTATTATTTTATTTGTAGAAACATTCTGCGCAATTAGTATTATGCGAAAAAATTGTCGAGTTAATTTTGCATGATCCAGATGACATTTTCATGGGAGTTTATTGTAAAATGGCATCAGAAATGACTGTAAGCAATTGGAATGGTATCAACGATTTGAATTCTCTTAGCAGAAATCTTGAGCAAGTTATTGATGTAAGATATTGCTACTTGTTTTTTAAATTTTGTTCAGTAAGCTGCCGACTTACCTATATATCGTCAAATGACTTCCTGACAAAATTTGTTTCTTAAAAGAAATTTCGTAAATAAAAGCAAATCTTTTCTTTATATTTGATTTTAATAAATATTTTATATTTTTAATAAATATTATATAAATACAAGGACAAATAAATGGTAATAATATTTGTTAATAAATATTGATTTTCTGAGATTTATGATCGGTTTTCTTCTTTGATAAATTTATTTTATTTTTTGAAGTTTTATCATATTTTTTGATGCACCAACCATTTTTGCTTTAGCTTTTCCATGATTTGAGAAAAAAAAAAGAAAGAAATATATGGATCGCTTTAGCCAAGAGACTGCGAGATAGAATTAAACAGCTGAAATCTGCCAAAAAGGTTTGTTACAACCAATTTGAAAAGTTATCTCCATTATCCCTAAAACATTATATAATGAAATTTTTAAACATTAAACATTATACAATGATATTTTTAAAATTTAACTTTCAAACTTATTTTGCTCTTTTCCATATCTAAAATCGTTTTTTATTTATTATTATATGATTATTTCATTTTCCAAATAAAATTGTTCACCTTTTTCCAAATAAATCGTATCTTTACTGCAGATCATATTGCCTAATAAAGGAACTGATGAATTAGTTGTCCTAACTTCTAATCTGTCGTTGAACACTTCACGAATTAATCTCAAAGAAAATGTTAAATCATCGCAAAAAGTCAAAAAAATACCTCTATTGTCGAATTCACAAAATAAGGTATTTTACAAATTTTCGAAATAGCAGTTATGAATGATAATAAATAATAATCAAATAGTTTCCAATTGAAAATAATCAAACAGTTACAATCAAATAGTTTCAGAAAATATCGTCAAAAGACAATTGTCTTCGAGTTATAAATTTATTGCAACAAACAGACATGAATTTTGATGAAAATGCAGTCGTTGCTGCTGACACACCAAAGCAACGTCCATTTCTTCCAAGAAATGCGAAGATCTCATCATTGCCTCACTTTTAATTAATCTTAAATTTTCATTATAGACGCATCCTATAAACACATAATTTCTGAATTTATTTCTTTATCTGCAAAATTATGAGCGATATGAAATATTTTCGCAAACTCTCGGAGATTTTAGGGTAAAATTTTCCAGAAAAATGTCCATTTAAGACAAGAAAAATTAAAATTTTTCTATTAAATTATAATTTTATAAAATACAAATATAATTTAAATTATATTATAATTTTTCTATTGCTATTAAAAATTTTCCATACTATTTTCCAATTTTTCCAGTTTTTTATGATTGGATAAATTTCCGATTATCATTTTATTTTCTCTAGAAAATCATCTTTTATCATATATTTAATTATATGATAATTTATCGCTGATTTCTTTAATGCATAATGTAAGGATTGTTTCCACCTCTTAATTGATGGCTATGAAGATGAAATTAGATGATTCCTTGCGGGTTTTAATGGTTCACCAAATTTAATCTGAATTAATTTCAATTTTGTTGTTGATGGGTTGGTTATTTATTATTTAAATATGTTAAGGGCTAACATACATATTTTTTTGCTAATTCCAGTGTTTTTTATTTGTATTAATTGTAATAAATGATATATTTAAAGAATTATTTCTTATGTTCAAAACGTTTTTTGAATTGTATAGATTATCTTAAAAGCTTTTTCAATTATTTTAAACCAGTGATTGTTTTTGCAATATGTAAAAGAAGATGATAAGCGATGATTGATAAGAAAAAATGATAAATTTATTTTTTATTGAAGAGTATTTTTAGAAATTTTTTATCATATCATTACAATTGTTATTAATTGCCCATTAAATGGAATTCCTATTGTTAGATTTTTTTTTCAGTCCCAGTAATGGTGTTTCGATTTCTTTTTGATATAATTTCCACAACAATTGGCGCGCTGTTTCCGGCATACGAAACATTTAAATGTTTGCAGAAGAAAAATTCTTGTGAATTGGTTCCTTATTTTTGTCTTATGGTCATATGCTTTATTTTTAATTATTGCTCTTTCAGTTTTTGAGAATATGGTTATTAAAAATAACATCATTATTATTTAGGCTCGCTGTACTAGCTAAAAAGTTGGGATGCTTTCAGACCACTGGATGCGGTGCCATATCGTGAATCACTCATTTTTCTACTTTCAATTCCATATATCTCTGGGTCATCTAGAAGTTAAAAATCATTTTTCCCTGTTGTACCAGTCCACAGTTTGATTTTATCATCATTCATCACAGAGCTTGGGAAGGATGGTGAAGAATATAACCATCGTAAATGACAATCTGTGACGATGTTGTGCAGATGGTTCTAGCGAATGTATGTGGGAAATATCTCGAATGTGTATATTTAGTTTTATGTGCACTCTTGTTTGAATCTTGCCAAATAAGGGCATATCTTAAAGGTTTAGTCCTTAGATCTTTTGCTGGAGTTGTATTAGACTTAAGCTTCTGAATAACGAATAATTATGAAAAAAATATTTCTTGCTGTGGTGACGACTAGCAATCATGGCTCAAAGAATATGTTCGTGGGTGATCTCGGTTAAATTTAGACTCTAAAGAAATCTTAATGCTGTGCTAGGCGGTATTTGACAGCTGTAACAGGTGCGCCATCATTATCTCAGATCATTTCACTGCTCCTGTTTCTCTAGTTGTAGTTACTTTATGAAAAAAGCAATATTTTACGATTATTGCCTAATCGGGCTGTCTCTATATTGAGGATTTACTTAGTTTCAGATATGGCAGCGCACCGATAAGATTTTAAATTACTAAAATTTTTCGAAAATTTGTTAAAAATTTGAATTGCTTTGTTTTGCTGATTTAATCCACTCATTTAAATAATTTAAACAATTACAATAATACTTTAAAGTATGAATAATTTTTTAAAATTTCATGTAAAAATGTTTTTCAGAAAAGATGGTTAAAATATTGGGCGGTTTATGGAAATTATTTGGTTTTTGACGCTATTGGTGGAAACCTTTTATTTGCTCACTTAATTCCTTTTTATTCCCTCTATAAAGTGGTATTTTTGTTGTTAGTTGTGACAAGTAGAACTTATGGATCGAATATGATTTATGACCAGGTTCGAATCAAATTTGATAGGAAATGTATAAGTTTTAATTAGAAAAGGATTAATTAATACATCTTAAATTAAAAAAAGAAAAAGGTAAGAAGAAGAAACTAACGGTTGGGTCACTTCCATATCGAATTAGTCCATTAAAATTACGACTAGATTATTACCGAATATATTCGAAAAAAATTACATTGAATTAGATTAGATAAAGTTAAATTTATTATTATATTACAGATTTATTATTATTATTATTACAGACATTTATTATTATTACAGATCATAGCTCCATTGTTTCGCAAATATGAACGCAGTGCAGATTTGTTGTTGGCAAATTTTTCAAAAATGGCGAAAAGTTCTCTTTTAGTTTTTAGAAATAGATTGCAAGGAGGGTAAATATTCAATTTGGCAAAAGTTTTCATCTTTGAAGAAGTTTTAATTTTCGATCACAAATCTATCGACTTCTATTCGTGTAGTTTTATCTATTTTACATATATTTTGCAATATGCTTTTTATATGAGCTTTTTATTTTTCATTTTGCCATACATATGAATGAATATAATTATAGTTATGAATACTTTTAGCTTACATTCTTTGCTCATTTTTTTGTCTACGAATTTCATTACCATAATGCAAAATCAAGACCATTTGCATGAATTTGAATATGTCGACGAACTAATTGTCCATTCCAGAAAGTTTTTTTTGTTCATTATATTCTTTTCTTCAGAAGATTGATTGATGTTTAAATGTTAAAAAAGATTAAAATTTGATTCAGCCATTTCTCTGATCCTTCTCACTTTTACGAGGCTTTAATTTAGATATGGAAATTCAAGATGAAAAGGATGGATGGTTATCAAATTCATTTGCTGTCAAACAAGAGATTATTGATAACGGAGATCAATCAAGTCATGAGGATTATTTTCAATATTCTTTGGGACATTGAACAAAAAATTGAATTGTTACCATAAAAATTTGTAGGCTGTGGTTATACAATTTTTACTGAATCGGGAGATCAAACAACCAGGACACATCAGATGAAGCATAAAAAGTTCAATAATGATTCTACTCAAATTACTGGTAATAAATTATATCAAAATACTGATAAGATTTATCATTTTGGTAAATTTTTAGCAAAGATTGGACGAATGGTCTCAGAAGAGTTTTTTAAATCTTTTTTTTGCAGTAGATATTGATTATAAGAAACGACTTCGTCCCAGAATTTTGCGCAAAGTTGAGTAAATCTGCTATGAAGAGTTTAATTTCATTTTATCTCAGATCTTTTATCTCAGATTCTTTTTCAATTTTTTATTTTTTCATTTCATTGATATTATTTTTTTCTCAATGGAATTTATTATTTTTTCTTTTATTATTTTAATTAATCATTTCCCAGAAATTTCTATCTCATTTTCTCAAATATTTTGTTTTATTTTTTGTATCATAGAAAGTATTATTTTTATCTGAATACTTATTAATATTATAAATATTTATTTAACACCTTCACTTGCTGTAATAATTTGTTCACATGAACGAATATATTAATTCTAATGCTTAATTGTTGTTGAGGCCATCTATATGAATAAAGTTATGTTCAAAACCATTCTACTGAAAATCAATCGAGCAAATAACATAATATAACAACATTTTAGAATTTTGAGATGAAACGGCCAACTCAAAAATTATAATAAAATCGGTGTTGTAGGCCTAAAACTACTAAATCTGGATCGACCATACCGAAACCCTTGAAATCCTCTAAAAACTACTATATTTTAATGAGGAATCTCCTCAAAAGCCATTAAATTCTCCTTCAATACTCCCAAAATTTGGCAAGAAGGGATATGAGGGACATACCGGTAACGGGTTTTTGCAAAATACATAAAAACATGCTTATAAAAGTCAACCATTTCCACTTCCATACTAGGACATACTAGTAGGAAATGCGCTAGCTGGGTATCGGAAGCAATTGTCCAATTGCCTAAAAAAGCTGCCAACGCAGAATGTCAGTGATCCTAACTACCTAATGCTTCGAAGAATTGCAATGGAAGCAGCACTGTGGAACAGAAATCACTATTGGAGTGACATGGCCTTGAGGATGGTGGCTCGATTAGGCGATAATAGGAAACTATTCTGCCTTCTTCACAAAGTAATTGTAACTCGAGGAGGAGTCAGTGAAATGATACGGGATATTAATGGGATGCCTACTAATGCTGTTAAGGATCGCCTCAGAAAATGGAAAGAATTTTTTGAGGCCAAGCGACAACGGTTTTCAGGAATCCCCTCCATTATGCTTTTCTGTATAGATTTAACAAATTTCCTGCCACGCAGCACTTTTATTTTGTCAACAGTTATAAGTTCTGCAACCAGCGTTCTCTTAATGCTTATCTCACTGCGAACCCTCAAACTTTGGAAGTTAAACCATTTATAAATATATAAATATATACAAATAATATAAACACTGTCAAATCGTACAAACTGGTGCGGCAAATCCCCGAATAGCAAATCTTTGGGAGATGGATGAGGCCCTTAGTAGCAGTGCGCAAGAACAATGGTGTCTACGAAAAAGTTGCCTAATACCTCCCCGAACATTAACTCACTTCTCACATTTCTTCCTCATTTCCAGGTTCCATGTCCTCACAACAAATCCCAAAATGACCGAAAATGGTCTCTTGGGAACTTATGTTAATTTGAGATTTATGGTTTTTAATTCTGTCATAATGAAAGCTGAATTTTACCTACTATTATTCCGTGGCATTTTTTAATATCTTTTCCAACTCTTTTCTCTTATTTTCCTAATATTCTCGATGGGAATGAGATCCATAGCAGGTGCCACCAATTGGCGACATCCACTGGCGATTGTTCATAACTCATCTTCAACGAATGTACTCTTCGATATGGTAAAAGGAAATAATACCAGAAGGCTGGGACGAAGCAATTCTGTTTTCAATTCCTAGTAAAAATGTTGGATGTACAATTACTGAGGAATTGTCGCACTAGACATTTCAGAAAAAATTTTCACCTCTGCTAAATATATTCATGACAACACGAGATAGCAGAATGTGTCCTAACCAAACTGGAATCAGACCAGTATGCGGTTGTGCTGACCAGATATTTACGCTAAGAAGGATGCTGGAATATCTCTTTAAATAGCAGCAATTCAACGTCACTTGTTTTATCGATTTTGCATCTGCCTTAGATTCGATCGATAGAGCAATGCTCTGGAAAGTGATGGAATGTGAGGGTGTCCTAGAGAAGATCATTCGGCTCATAAAGGCATTTTATCAACATACCCTGGCGCAAGTTTGTATATATGACAGACTCCTTCGAAATAAAAACTGGTAGGGCTACGTCCTTTCCCTCACAATATTTAACTGTGCGATAGACTGGATAATCGCTTCGCTTGTCGACATCCAAAAGGTGCACAAATAAGTCCACAGCACATCATCACAGATCTCGAATACGCTGATGGTGTTGTCCTTTTCACAGACAGTTATAAAGAAATAATGAAATAATTTTAAACAATGTATCATCAATTGCAGCGAGAATTAAACTCAAAATCAATGTAAATAAAACGAAAGTCTTTTTATCTTTCATCTTGTATACAAGATGCTCATAAAATACCTATTATTATCAAGTGCCTGACTTTAAGGATCCACTTAATTCCGAGTTGCCAAGCAAAAGACGAAATTACAACTCGGATAACGACATCTAGAAATGTGCTTTTCTGATTGACAAAATCTTTATGGAATCGTCGCGAAATCACCATAAAGATTATAATTGGCGTCCATATAGCTGCAATTCGCTCGATCTTGCTATATGGCTGCGAAGCATAGCCAATGAGAGAGAGAAAAGATATTAAGAAGCTATCAGCCTTTGACCAGTCACGTCTAAGATATATTTTGCGAATCCATCAAGTGGATAAAATTGCACATGGTTATAGTCGAATGGTGAAGACAGCTGCAAATATGAGCATTGCACCTGCTATACATCTCTTCCCCAGCCGAGAACAATAGGGAAATAAAAAACAATAGGAAAAGAGTTGAAGATATTATCACGGAATAAGTGAGTGAAAGGTACAGTAAAGATAGCTTCTATTTTAAGAGAATGGAAGACAAATGTGAATTTTCCCACCGCCCATTTCAAATCGAATAAAAGTTTAAGAATAAAAGTTTTTAAGAAACTATTTTTGGCCATTTTGGGTTTTTGTGGGGAAATGGAAGGAAAGAGATAATGAGGGAAATGGATAGAAAAGCGTTGGGTAAGGACATTATTCATTGCCGTCGTTCTTGAGTGGCATTGCTGAGTGCACCATCCATCTCCCAAAGATTTCGGGGATATGCACATCCTGCTCCAGTGTTATAGGATTTGCTAATCCTTTCTCTAATGTCAAGATTTTTTCTGTTCTTATGTTTTTTTGTCTATATTAAATAAACGGTTTAATTACCCAAGTTTGATGGTCCAGACATTCGCAATGAGATTTTCATAAAAAGAACGCTGTCCAGAGAATATTTAGTCATTTTTATCAGTTAAAAGTCCCGCGTGACAGGAAGTTGAATTTTATACAGACTACACAATGGAGCGGATTCTCGAAACTTTAAGAAAAATATATATTGGAAATAGGAATCGCCGAGCTCCAAATGTTGTTTTCTGTACAATTGTATTCATCTTCGCTCAAATACCACCTGTATTAATAATGTTATCACAGAGCGTCGTCTTCGCTGGTTAAGGCACGGTTTCTCCGTTATCCACTACAAGAATTGACATATATTTCGCTATTTGCTGAACCCTGTGATGGGTTGGCGTCGAAAACGAGGAGAGCCAATCAAGATATGATAGTCAAGAAAGATTTTGAACAGATAATAGACCAATAATATTTGGATTGTTTCTTCTATTACTACCAGCGATGGCGTTGGACCGACTTGGAAACGTCTTACCATTGTAACCAGCTGAATCAGCCTAACCAGTAATGGTGAGAGTTGTTAAAAGAAGAAGAAAGTACATATCGATTTGAAGAACTGTTTCGGCCATCCGTCACTATTACGGTACCATTCTTTTTACTATTAGGTAAATAAAAATGGTTAGCGCTCTCCAGTTCTGGTTCAACTTGCTCTGCTGGTTGTTGATAAGGAATAGAAATTTTTGTGAAGGGATCATTTTCATAAAAATATAAATAAGCTGGTGACCAGCACTACCCAAATTTTGTAATGGTAGTCTTATTCCTGGAAGTCAAGCCTTTTACCTCCTAATACGATAACCACTCAGCTATCCTGTCCCCTTTTTAGAATTCTAATGATAGATTTAATAACAACGAACATTTGGAGATTAGAGCCGAATTTTATTTTTAACAGGTTATAAGTGGCCGTCATCAATGTGAGTCGATTTTTCGAAATTGGTTTCCTTGTTAAACAACTGTATGTTTGTAAGTAAAGGGCTAACACACGAGTTGACAGGAGATGAGAGGGTAGCAGAAAGTTGTTGAAGCAGAAGGAGGAAGAGAGTAGTGATTGACTGAGAGGAGGAAATGGCAAGTGTGATTTATTGTGTGGGTAGATAATAATTGGTTGAAAGGTCTGAAGGAATAAAAAGGTTGGCGGGGGGGGGGGGGGGGGGGGGGGGGGGGGGGGGGTGTAGGGGGAGTCGGATGGAAGGGAAAAAGTTAGGATGAGAAATAATTAAACGGAAGGGGTGAAAATGACAATAATTCTCAGTTCCATTTAGCAAGTTATTCGTAAATGCAAGTGTATTTATGTATGTTACTTTCAACAAACGTTGTATTTAGGTGCGTAATGAATTACACCATCGGCAACACGAAGTCAGCAAATAAGGAACCGGAAGCAATTTCGTTAACATTAGAGATCGAGCTCGATGATCATCGCATTATTCAGCATTCAGCACTTAATGCATATGTCTCTCTTCTTCTTTTGCCATTATTTATTATTATTATTATTATCATTATTTCCTTATCAATTTTAATTATTTTAATTTGCAAAGAAGTTTTAAATATTTTCACTTTGAAAAAATTTCGATGATAAATTAAGTATAAATTGAACAAATCCGACTTCTCTTTTTGATTTGTACATTTTTTAAAAAAAGTATATAGAAGGAATGTTCTTCGGAAAACTTGGCCGAATTTTTTGGGAGACTTGGTGGAACAACTTACTTGATTGAAGTTAATTTTTTGAAATAACGAGTAGCGACTTATAAAAATCATTATTTTGCAGGTTTCTTTGCCACTTGAAGAGTTTTATGATCGCCCAACCGATATTTACGAAATAAAGCCGGTAATTGCAAGTGGATATCGCATTTGTAATTTGTGCGCTGTAGCAGTTCACCAGATGGAAATGTATTTGAATGTACCTTCGTACGGTTCACTGCTTAACTGGGAGAATCTCGCAGCAAAACTTGGTTTATCAATTTTGCAAATTCTTGTAAGAAATTTTTTTCATTGACATCGATATTTTTACACAGGTTTAACTATTTTCTGGTTGATTTTTAAATATTTATTGGGAATTTAGATTCAAACCTTATACAAATAAAAATGGTTCTAAACATTGTCAACTTCATTAAAATTTCATTAAAATGCAAACTCCGCGAAATTTTTTACTTTTCCTCCATCTTAAATTGAACCTTTTCATTTATTATTTCTAAATAATAAAGAAAAAAATATGGTTTTTATATATTTGTGAAATTCCTCTCGTTTGCAGAAAACTTTCATTTAACAAAAAACTTAATCTTAAAGCTTTTTCGCATAAAACTTAGAATAACTGAAAAAATTTGTTGAATCGATAATCTTTACTTAAATTACTTAAATTGAATGCAGTTGCGAATACTATTTCCAAAAATATTTGTTTATTCAAATTGAAGAATAATTTTCAGAGTTTACGAAAATGTGTTAGTCCAATGCTTAAACTTCTCGAGTTGCACTCGAATTTACCTTTAAACATAATTATTGATGCTATTTGTGAACTTAATCGAGTCGATCTATTGATCTCATTAATACCATATTTGCCAAAGAACAATCTAACATCGGATCAGATTTCTCTCGATTCTGGTATAATCTTTATTTGACTTTTAATATTCCAGTTCTGTTGATTTCTGACGATTGTTTTTTGCTTTAATTATCATAATTACCTTTTATTATAATATGATTTGTAAAAGCATAAAAAGGCAAATTATTTTAAAATTTTAAAGAATAAAAGTTATGCAAAAAAGTGGAAAAAAATTTGTGTTTCTGCAAATTTCGCATCAGTTTTGCCGTTTAGCGTTTAAAAATTCCAAAAATGTTTTTCATTCTGCAACTTTCCCTTTTTTTATCACCAAATTATTATTTTAAACTAATATTTATTATAAATTTATAAATTTGTTATAAATTTGTAAATTTGTTATAAATTTATAAATTTGTTATTATTATAAATTGTTTAGGCATATGCAATAATAGCAATAATAATAATAGCTTCCTGCAAAATGAACGATTCCATTCAGACCATTTATTTACTTCTAGGCGTTCTAAACAGTTGGTGGATATTCTTGTTAAATGTAATGTAATTTTTCTATTTTTAATTGTAGGAAATTTTGACTTTATGATTTTTTCATCGATTGAGAAATTAATTGATAGTGGATTTAGCAATGGGAGAATTGTAAATTCATACTATTAAATGAACGGAAATTTTTAAAAAAAGCTGCCTGAAAATTAATTATATGCTTGGTGTAAATAACTTGATCAGTTCTTTTGTAAAAAGAATTTTTTTTCCAGCGATTTTGGTTATGCATCATGAAAACGAACTTAATATTAATTTAAAGAAGAATTTCAATTGGTTTATGAAGAATTTAAAGTAAATGATTTAATTTTTTATTGAGCCACATGTCCATTTTTTTTTACAGTTTAATAATCTTATTTTTTATATAACGCATAATATTTTTTATATAACGCATAATAATTTAATATTCATTCAGGAAGCAAGCGAGTGGTAAGGGTACTTTCATATTCGACGTAAATGATTATCTATGTGGTGAGGGTTCCATGGTAGATTTAATTGAAATTTTCAAACAAGTATGATTAATGGATTTTTTTTATCTTGACTTTTGTAGAATTTTTTTTCATGCTTCATTTATTTGTTTCCAGATGAGTGGCTATGATCTGTCATAATGCTTTCTGCATCACAAATTATTATTATTTATTTTTTCGAAATTGTTATTTCAGGCGACTCACATCATTTCAGTTTTGTCAGAAGACTATTCAAAGATTTTAAATAGTGATGGTGATCAACAGAATGCAGTTAAGAAGTATATAAATAATCTAATGAATACTGAATATATTCAAGATGGTAGCATTAATAAACGATTTCGTGCCGTCATGTTACAGGTCAGTAATTTTTAAGATATACCTCATACAGGATTATTTTTCTTTTTTTATGAACATTACCTGTGGGATTAGTGGATTTGATTATTTATCTAATTTTTTGATTGGCTTTCATTGTTGATAAAAAATTATGTTATAAAAATTAAATATAAGACGCTTGCAACTTGTTTTTCTTTGCTAAAATCAGTCGAACATTGGCCAGTGTAAGGCAGTTTGGATTTTTTCATTGTTCGTGATTTTTTTGTTTACCATTAGCTATTTTATTATCGCTTGCGTTTTTTTTTATAAGGACATTTTATCTTCTAACATTGTAATTTTTTGAGTCATTTTTAAGGGGACTGATCGTGCTGTTCTGCCAATTGGTTGGTCGAGGAACACTGTGATTTATGAGTTTCCTGCTAATCATGCGCAGTTGTTTAAAAAACTTTTCGGCTAAAGACTAATTGAAAAATTTGTATATTTATATATTTCTAAATATTTTAAAGAAATCATTGATATATGTAAATAATATACAGTTTAATATGTGAATGTGGAATCAAATCGTTATAGAATGGCTGTTCAAGGAAATTCTTGTTAGCTTTATTCTAATTTTATGTGCTATTTTTCTTAATCGATTTTTTGTTTGATGACTGCTGCCATTTATTTATATTGCATAGAAAGTCCCAGGTGTCTCTGAGATATTTTCAATTTATAAGGATATTATGAAATCTGGCCTTAATCCCAAAATTTGGAAATTGGAAATTGTCTCATATAATTCCCATTCATAAAAAAGGAAGCATCTATGACTCTTCTAATTATAGACCTATTAGCCTAACATGCGTTGGTAGTAAGGTACTCGAAAGGTTGATTTGATGTTGATTTACCTATCTTGTTACCAATAGTTTCATATCTTCATATCACCATGGCTTTTGCATAAAAGAATCTACTTCACAAATATTGGCAAATCTTTCCAATTGTTCAGCATCAATTGACAATGGAAAATCAGTTGTATACCTAGATTTGGCCAAAGCTTATGGTGCTATTTCCCACAGCAAATTATCGATCACTCTTAATAGTCATGGTACCACAGGGCCCTTTATAACTGAGTTTCGGATTACATAAAGAATCGTCACCAAGCTTTACGCGTCAATTACACCCTCTCTGACATAATATCTGTTCCCCAAAGTAGTTATATTGCGCCATTGCTTTTTCTATTATATATAAATATTATCACCAAAGTGGTTCTAAATTCTACAATTTATCTTTATGCTGATGATTATAAAATTTATTATTCTTATGGTAGAATGGTAGAATAGCCTATCATCACTGCAGGAGGACCTCAACAGAATAGCCAGCTAGCTATATGACAAGCAAATTACCCTTTTATTTCAAAAATGTAGCGTTTTTCATATCAATTCTAAAGATTTCGATTTTTCTAATCTTTTTATTAATGGCAATATAATCAGTAGAATTTCACATATTTCCGGTCTTTGAATAATCATGGATGAAAATCTTGATTTCGACCTTCACTACAGAACCATGGTAAAGAGGTCCTCAAAGATGCTAATTTTATTTTTCGTTGGTTTAAGAATAAAACTGAAGGTTTTCTCATCAAAATGTACAAAGAGTTCGTTCGGCCACTTCTTGACTACAATACTCTCTTACAATACTACGTCTCTTCGAGATATCCTAAATCAAGTAAAATAATTGAAGAACTCCAAAAATATTTTATACGCTTCTCTGCTAATTACAATTATAAAGAAAAGCTCCTACAATGTAACCTGGATTCTCTGCCAGTTCGTAGTATTAAACAAGATTTAATTTATACTTATAAGATTCTGTGTGGTATTACATTAAACTAGATTGTCCAAAATACTATAATTTAAGGCTAAATTTGAATCCAACAAGAACTAATGAGCTAAAGTTACTAAAACTTCATAACTTAATAATATAATATAAATGTAAAATTAAACTAAGGACTCATGATTCCTTTGTTCGCACATTATTTACTGGAATAAATTACCGAACGATAAAGCATGCTTATCATCCTTAGCTATTTTAAAAAAAAAGATTAAATAATGTTGTTTATGATATTATTATGATATGATATATTGTTTATGATATGATATTGTTTAAAAAGTTCACATCATGCAGGAAGTGTGAAATCTCAATTTTCACCATCCATATAATACATTTACTATAATACATTTATATAATACGAATTGTACTATATTATATTATTTTGCATCCTCTTTAAACTGTTTATTTTTGTCATATTTTCTATTTTTCTTATTGAATTTTATCACTTTTTTTTTTAACTGTTGTTATTAATATAAGCAGTTGGCGTTGCCGCCTTGCTTGGGTGGTTTTCAGTAAACAAATTCTTAGTTATTGTCTTCAATGGAAAATGCTCCTAATACATAAGAATTTTGAATTTGAATTCGTTATTTCAAATAAAGTATTTTAGGTCTAGGAATTAATCATGTCCATTGTTTGCTTGTTATTTTATTCATGTGTTTTGTTCATAGACAAGTTCACTTTTATCGAAGGGTTATTACTTAAATGGTGAACGAACTATGCAATTTTTATAGTCTCAAAGGTCTTTATAGTTTTAAAAATATTTAATATACTGTGCTATCAGTTGCTTTTACCTTCCCATTCCATAGCCTTATCAGTGCTTTTATTATGAAAGGTTTTCTTTATCAATTTTAGTGAAGCATTTATATCAGTTTTGTTTCCTACATAATCGACTGTTTCCATATTTTTGAAGGGACTATTGTTTCTGCTGTAAAACCTTGAATATTGTTCATCAAAAACAAGTTTTCAGTAACATGTCATCATTATTGCTATTAGCTTTGCAAATATTTTTAATCTTGGTAAAAGTTAAATCTGCAGAGAACAATGATCCTGTAATTATTTGCGAGCCAAATACTGCTTGTATTTGCAGTAATGCTATTGTTACTTGTAATAATGTTAGTTTTTAAACCATTTGTTTGAAAGATTAGAAGATTAGAAGAAATTTATTTTAGAAATGTAATTAGTAATCGTATATCAAAATCATCGAGAATAAGCAACACACATTCGACATCGCATCCTCGACTAAATTAAGAATAAAATCCATGTGGCTAGGAGGACTTTCCTTTATTTCTTTTATTTCTGGCAGAAGATCTTATTCTAGTAGTCATTGCAACCGGACAGTCAAGAAGTAGCGCTATCGGAAGGCAAATAATAGTAAATTCTCTTGAGTTTTATAGAATGTACAAGTTCCCAAATGTTTACATGCATACATTGCTCATCATCTTCATCTTTTATTTTCAGTTTCTTTATTCTTAATTTGATAAGTTATTTTTTTAACAATTGAACTGCCCAACCATTATCATTTTTCCAATCCTTTTTCAATAATTTCTATATTATTTTGAATGATTAAGGAAATTTGTAAAATATTTCTCAATGATTTTAGGCTTCTGAATATTTATTTAACTTTGCGATTTCTTTGGCGAATGGGTTTTCTGAAAAATTATTTCGGATAATTTTAAGTGAAAATATTGTATCGTCGGAAGACTAGCAATATTCTTTATTCATTCTTTATTCTTTTTATAGTGATGAAGCATAAACTTTTTTATGAAATCTGTTGTCAGAAGTGAACTTAGAGTGGATGCATAACGATATATATTTTTATCTTAAAGCATCGCATCTATTATCCCAAGGGACCTCTGAGAGGGGCCACATCGATTCTTTGAGCTGATAATCAATGGCGCTAGATTCAGAAATTTTAAAAAAGTGAATCGCAGTCATTCGTTCAGTCTTCCATGGGATTTAAGATGCTTGCTTAGGTGCGTTGTATTGCTAGTATTAATCCAAAACTACTTTGATATTGATAGTCTGATTGGTATAAATGCGATATTCAGGTGAAATGGACCGAAGATGAAGATGGTAACGAAATTTTTGAACCATTACGAACAAGTAACGTGATTGTAAGGAGGAAAGACTTTTTCGTAGAAAAGGCTTTTTTTCAGTTTAATGCCATCAATAAGCTTGAAATGGTTAGGCATGCGAAATTTTTTCTCGATTTTTTTATTTTAATGAATTGAGGTGAATTGGCACATGTTTATTAAGTGTTTTGGATAAGTACTGCATATACATTTATGCCAGTGCGAATTTTCATCAGCTGTTTTCTTTGTGGGTCGTAGTTAAATGTGCCTTCTCTGGCCCAAATTTACTCTGTGCCGAAATTTACTCTTCACTTATATTAGTCAGTGAAACCAATTAAATTAGAATTACAAAAAAAAAGCCTTGAATTTTTTGTGCCGAATATTGGTAGAGGATTAAAAATTGTGGGTTTACGAAGGTTTTGATATGATATGAAGATTTATGTTAAATTTTTAATCGAAGGCCGAATATTTATATTATAGGTCATTAATTTGAGATTTATGAAGGAGTGGACCTGGTATCAAAAATGGGTATGGTGGTAGGAGGAAGAGGACATGCATATCCATCTCCAAGATTAGCTGGTGAAAATCTCTCATCCTAATAGGTAATGCGACGCATCATAATTAATTAATTAATCCTAGAAGTGAAGTGGTGATTAATAGGCAAGTAAGAAATTGGTTAATGGTCATTGAAAGGATTTCTTTTTTAAAAATTTTCGGACTTTTAAAATGTCTAAGTGGAATATTTATTTTTTGATGAAAATTTAACGATACAAAATTTATCAAAGGACAAAATTTTGCCTGCGCACGAGAAAACAATCAAGGAATTAGATTTCTCGAATAATCAGATTGATGTAATTGGTCCCTTCGCATTCAAAAAAATGGAAAATTTAGAAATTCTCCGACTTCGCTCGAACAAATTGGACAAATTGAGCAGGTTTATTTCATTTTTTTTCGATTTATCTTTTGATAACAAATTATATTTAAATTAATTAGCAAATAATTAGCAAATTAATATCCTTCTTCAACACAGTATAAACACAATAAACACAAAAACATTTTGAAACATCCAGAGTCCGAGGTCATTGCAAACTTTTATTTTTTTAATACTCTTTGCTTGTGATGTAAATTACGATTGTGGATATTAGTTCAAATTATTGTTTTGAGAGGTAAGGATTCAGCTTATGCAACAGGAGTAAACCTGTCACCAAAAACGGGCTGCTGCTGGCCACTCATTTTTATTTTATTCTTCTGTCATAACTCCATAGCAAAGATTTCTAATTTCGTATTAACTATATTAACAGTCAACGAGCAAGCCTAGCATGAAATAGATACCAACCATTTATTTTCGCTCTTCTTGACTTTCTCCTAGAAATAAAGTTAATAAATCAAAACAAATTTATAACCGCGTTAATGCCGTAAATACCAGTTTATTTCAATTTATATAATATAATTCGCGAAAGTTTTATCATTAATTCACAAAAATTTTCAGTTTATCATTCGCTGAAGGTCCAAGTTGGAAATTGCGCGAATTGTATTTGGATAACAATTTGCTCACCAACTTATCAAATGATTTATTTAAGAAACTATCGAATTTAGAAAAAATTGTTCTCGATGGAAATCAAAATTTAATTATAACGAGAGATATTTTTAAAAAAAATTTAGACAAGTTAAGAACATTGAGTATGAATGATTGCAATTTGAAGGATTTGGATGAAGATTTGTTCGATGAATTAACGTAAGATAGATTATTTATTTGTTGTATCGATGTTAACCAATGTAATCAGTGAACATCATGTAACCACATCATCGTAATTTTTTTCCCCAATAAGTAAAATCTTCCTTTCTTAGTTCGCCAATTTTATTTAATTATCTCTTCAAGAAACTTTGTTTCTTATGAAAAATGTATCTTTTAATATATCCTATAATGATTTTCACCTGCAAAATCCTTCGAACTATTCATAAAAATGGAATGCTAAGAACGATGAAAGAAATTTCCGATAAATTTCAAATGTGTCTTATGAAATCAGATCAATTTGAATATTTTTTCAGAGCTCTTGAGAATCTTTCATTGCGAGGAAATCCTTTTACGGAAATTCCTCGAGCAGTTCAAGATATTCCAACTTTACGTACATTCGATATGAGCTACACTCAAATTACAGAAATTCAACCGAACTCATTAGCATACAATAAAAAATTGGAGACTATTATATTTCAAGGACTTTCTTATCTTTATGTTATTCATAGCTGTGCGTTTTGTGGATTAAAATCATTAAAAGTAAGTTCGTATATAAATTTAAATTCGGATTTTCTGCAATTTATCTGAGGTTTATTCATATACTGATGGGTTATTTTTCGAGGTTGCTTTGACTCCAGCAAAAAGTAGTGGCCGTAAATGCCGTAAATTGATAGGTATTTATTATTGTCAATGTCTGCTTCTAGGAGTAAGCCTTATCATGTGCTTCATTTTCATATGAATATATCTACTATTATTGACACCGTTATTTTAAGGATCTTCTTCTGACCAATGCTACCAAACTGTATCTAATAGAAAAAGATGCGTTTGGAACGAATAAAATGCGATTACCTACCCTAACGAATTTTGATTTGGAATTTGCTAATCTCTCTTATTTGCCTCACGATTTGCTGGATTTTCGGCACATAAAATATCTAAAATTAGGTGGTAATCCATGGGATTGCTCATGTACTATGGCATGGCTTCTCGAATTTGGTTTAGATTTAAACCAAGGTTCTAGAACTCCTGAGTAAGTTTTCCACTTTTTTATAAATATTTGAATTAATCAAATATCCATTGAATCTCTTCAAATGTTATATATATAATATATATATATATATATATATATATATTATATATTATGTGTTATATATATAATATATTATATATATATTATATATTATGTATTATATATATAATATATTGTATATGTTATATATTATATGAATATTAATTTTATTTGTTCTATTTTATTATTATATGAATATTTGTCCTAAAAAAATTATCAGTTAATAACTTTATCACTTGTTGTGCAGATCCTTATATTAAATAATAAATTACTAAAATGGAATTTTGGAATCTTTAAAAAATTCCACTGTCGAGATATATACTTAGAAAATTGCTATATAAAGAAGTGGGCATTTTTAATCCATCCTAAATTTCATTATATAATTTATCGAGCTCTGGGAATACTCAGCAATACTTCAATTTATTCAAGGTAAAGATGCCTTATCGAGACCTTTTCCGTTGGCCAATTTCAATACGTGCGCAAAATAAGCTTCCTTAAGATGTTTATTACTGAAATAAAGATTGATTTATCTCAGATAATTCAGGGAAAATCTTTCAATTATATATTTTACTAAATTTACTACATCATTATTGCACATTCTTTAAAATGAATTGCTAGTGATATATATTATTATCAGTGAAGATTTGATGGATTTAGCTGAAAATTATCAGAGATTTTAGTTCAAAAATTTGCTTGACCAATTCTCAGTGAAATCTCACATTTGATTGTTCTTAAATTTTAGTTTTTACCTCTTTAACCTTTAAATAGCTATAAGTCTGGCTACAGAAATTGCTTTTTTACATTTCAGGTGTCACTCACCGATGACTCTAAAAAATCGGCATCTCAACTCCATGACTCTTCGTGAGTTTTGTCCTTCGCATCTTATTAACAAATTGGTTATTTCATTAATTATCGTATTTATTCTTTCATTAATTTTTGTTCTCACTTATTATGCCATAAAAAATTATCATTTTCGTAATGTTTTATATCGAGTACCATTACCACATATTGGTTATAGTATTTTGGATAAAGACGAAGAAAAAAATCAAATGGTAATTTATATTAATCCTATGAAAGAAATTTAAAAATTCATCCAAATTATGGTTTTATGGAAAATATTTTATTTTTTTGAGTATTTTTATAAATTTTTATTTAAAGAGAAATGAATTTTATTTTTGCGATTGTTTTTCCCAATCTTTAAAACTTAAAAAATTTTATTCTTTTATTATCAAACGAAATTCTCTTTAAAACTTTTTTTCATGTATACCAATTATATAAAAAACTTTTATTGCAAAGCGAAATAGTAACAGATTTATTTATTCTCTTCAAGAAACAGGAATTAAACAGGTCGATGATCCTTGCAATCACTCAGTCGAAGCAAAATATTACAAATTCTAATTCTGTATAGATAATTAGGATAATAATTTAAGAAATTTTGGGCAGAAATTTAATCGAAACTGTTGGAAAAATTATTGGATATTCTACAGAATTGTATGGGTTCGATAACATTGTAAAAAACTTATGAAAAATTGTAAGTGTTGTATTAAAAATATGCGATCGAATTAGATTGTCCTTGTTTTTTCCACATTTTTTTCTTAGTCTTATTTAAGCTTTAATTTAAGCCTCTGCTTTTCGATTTTTATATATTTTTGCTTTGATTCGATTCAACACGCATTTTATTCGTTTCCTTTGATAGGAGTAAACCTGTTACTAATTCGAACTGCTGACCTTCACATTTCATTGTGTTAACTTATAATTTTTATAAGTACGACGCGCTCAGTTACATTACATTTTTCTGTTTTATTGTATTTGTAGAATAAAATATTCATCTTCCTTGCCCATATATTTGGTCCTTTTCACTAAGATATATATTAGCAAAATTTCTTTGCATATCGATTCTATCGAATTGATCATTTGATTGTTATCAGTTAGATTTAATTAAATTTTTAGTAGCGTTGACCTGTTATCGTTATTTAACATATCGGAAAATGGAAAATAAATTTTTTTCTCCTTTTCGATCAAATCTTTCTTCTTTTTAGCTGCATTTTGATCTTTATCAGTCGTTTCATGTTAATGTTCTTCAATAAAAACTTCGTCAATTTTTATCAAAAACCTTTCACAATTTTCATAGTAAAATATATCATTTTATTGAAATATTATTTTTCTAATTTTTCAGTTTTTATTTCATTCACTTAAAACAAAAATGGAATTTATTGCGTATTATTATTTACAAGAAAAGAAGTAGAAGACAACGTAATATGCTCAGAAATTTGTGAATCTGTTAACAATAATGTATCGAATGTGAGCCAAAATTTGTTCATTTGCCCCGGGGCAATTTGTCTAGAGCAATGTGCTTACGTAGATTCATTATTTTCTATTTTGATATTTCTGATGGGAAAATAGTTCAATAAGGAAAATACAAAGTATAAAATAGCCCTCATCTCATAAAATGGTATCAAACTGAAAAAGTTTTTAACAAACAGCTGATAATGGAATGTTTTATGGTGTGACCCATTTGTCGTCAAAGTGCACAACTCGATTTGCTTCCTTCATTCGCTTTGTCCCGCTATTACTTACTATTACTTACTTACTACTATTATTATTAGTGTATTATTATTTTAACTACTATTTTTCTAATATATCACATTTCTAGTGATTTTTATGATTGTTTTTATACTTCTTTGATTCATCAATAATAGAATTCATCTCGAAAATTTTTGGATGCTCACCTGTACAACATTTATAGGATCACAACATTTATTCTTTTTCTTCTGCGATAAAATTCATAATTCATATTTGAAGAATAGACGATTCGAGCATTCGAAATTGAAATTCGAAAACGCGAACTGCCATTTAAGATAAGGTGTATACAGCTAAGAGTTCGCTAAGGCTGTGCATGTGCTTTTATCCTCAGATGTACTTCTGGTGAGGGGGTTTCGCCGTAGGATTTCATAGAGCCGAATCACAAAAATGGCTATTACATGAAAGTTTTCGCTATTTACAATAGAAAGAGGGCCGTTAACTTATTTTATGTGAAAAACCATGAACTTGGTAAAAACTTGGTAACAACCATCTTTTAAATTAATTTTTATAATATAAATAATATAATTATAATATAAATAAATACAACTGCTGCTTTTCATTATTTCTTTTAAATATTTTGCTCATTCAGTCAAAAAATTTTAAAATAATATTCAACTCTTTAGCTCTTTCAATCTACTTTTTTTTCTTAAAAGTAGAGACTTATTCTTATCATATCTTTTAATTGGAATAAACCTGTTATTGAAGAGTGAAATCGAAATGGCTGCTTGGTACCTCTATCTCTGAATTAGTGGCTGACGCCTTACTCCAGTCTAAACACGAATGTTGAGTGTTTCGGAAGAAGCATATAGCTATCACCTCATGAGAATATCAAAAAATTTTCGATTTATATATTTAAAAACGCAAGTAAATAAGTGGTCAGCATTCATAGTTTCTCGCTGAGACTCTACTCTACGGGTTATTAATGAGACGAAACTTGAAAATTTTGCTAGGAGATCAGCGATAAAGGCGCAGGTGGATCTATGGTGCAGTTCGTGTTTTTAGATTTTCCTCAGGAAAGAGAGTTCACTGCTTGGAAAGGTGAAAGGTGGTCTAGGTGGTGCAATTTCACTTTGTCTTTCCATTTAGTTTTATTGCGATCCGACGATTTATATTTTTTTATGAACAAATAAAAGACTGCTGCTTGCTGGTTCCATGAATTTAAGTGAATGCGGCTTAGGGAAAATATGGAATGGGATAATAACTTAGGATATTTTCGTGAAAAAGTTGAAGAGCCGATGAAAGGAATTCATTCGTTTGAATGTCACTAAGGAAGAGCGTTGTGAAACCAATTTCGAACAAAGGATCTTTATAACACAAAGGCAATCTGCCTGCCTCTTCCCGCCAACTGAAAACTCATAAAAAATTGAAGAGAATTGCGAAGAATCATCTCTCCCTCCAGCCGTCGCGATTGAGTGTTCTTATTATCAGCCAGCCAGCCAACTTGCCGGTCAGCCAGCCAGCCAGCCAACTTGCCGGTCAGCCAGCCAGCCAGCCAACTTGCCGGCCAGCCGGCCAACCAGCCAACTTGCCGGTCAGCCAGCCAGCCAGCCAACTTGCCGGCCAGCCGGCCAACCAGCCAACTTGCCGGTCAGCCAGCCAGCCAGCCAACTTGCCGGCCAGTCGGCCAACCAGCCAACCGTATTATATTACTACATATAGCTTTTACTATTATCTTTTAAATATTCTAATTCTTTCATCTAATAATGTTTTTTTTTGATTTAATAATACTTTCTCTTATTTCACCAAGTAATTTTTTTAATTTTTCCATATCCATATAAAATTTTTATTTCACCCACAAATTTAATTTTCTATATTTTAATTTTAATTTTATTTATATATTTGATTTTATAAAAAGTAAATATTTTCTATTGAATTGCAAATAATTTTTTTGTTGTATTTGTTGGAAGATTTTCTCAATAGAAAAATTGCAATTTTAAATTTTACAATTTTGCTTTTTTAAAATTCCTTTCTTTCATTTTTCATGGGTTTTAACCATACCATAGCTTACTGAAATTTGTACAAAGTGGCGACAATGTCAACACGATATTCCAAATCGCTGTTCATTCTACCATTCAGCAGCTTGTCCAGGAGAAATACACAAAATATAAATATTTTAAATAATAAATATTTTTCAAATGAGCTACGCCATATTGAGAAGTTTCCACCTTTAAAATTCTTGAAATATAATTTTCTAAAGAAATTTATGAAAGCTGAATGGCGAAAGATATCACAATTAATGGTTTTTATTGTATTTTTTTATTATATTATAGTTAAATCGTGGACCTGCGAAAATTCACTGGTCCTTTCTATGGAAATAAAGTTAGATTTGTTGCCTTTAAAAGAATTCGAAAGAGCATCAAATCACTTAAAAATAATTGAAATGTATTTTGCCAGAAAACAATCTTCGAACTTTTTTTAAATTTTTCAAAAAAAATTTTCAATATTTTTGGTAATAAAAATAGCAAATAAGGGAAGCAATGATGGAAGTAAAGGAGAATTTGAAATTTTGAGTTTTCAGATATGTTTTCAACACAAGTATGTGTAAATGTATGAAAGATTCAAGCATTTAACGATCTACATGTATTTCTATTAACAACTAACTCGACGACAAAAGTTAAATTCTACGCGCACCGAGAGCCAGTTGAGAAGAGCTAGTGGGTGAGCGCTAACCACAGCTCTCCTCAGTTTTAGTTTTTTTATTTATGAAAGCCGTTTTTACGATAAGCACTTTTTAAAATCGTGGATCTCAAATCATAAAACAAAAAATTTTTTTCGAGTAGAATCTAACACTCATATGGCTGAAATCAGAAAGGCGATTGATTAACTAAAAAATTTTTACTTTACTTCATGAAAATTTCCAGTGCTCTAAACCAAGAGGGCATTCAACTTTCTACATATGGAGCCATAGAAGTATACAATAAGTAATTATTTTCACATTAACAAGTGGTTAGTGCCCGAGCTTTCGGTTAAGCTCGCTTCATTAGCACTAACAGTCAGCAGTCAATGAGAAATTCTTTGCCAAAGAGCAGTCACTTGGCGACTATGACATGCAAATGAGTTGCCAGCACCATTCGGGTTTTTTAATGACATCCCCACTTCGCATTATCGCATATTGTTGTACGCCTCAGTCAATCAGCTTATAATTATAGTTGTATTTCGACGTTCGTTTCATTTAACGACGTTTCGATCTATTCAGCTAAAAAAAGAAGAAACGGATAAATAAGGTTATTCTTCTTTTCATTCATATTTTAAATTAACTCACCATCGGCAAAATTATGAATCGCTACAGTATTTTGTGAGAAAAGTGCAGTTGACAGTAAGGACATAGGGACATATCGAAATGAGTAACTCCGCCTTGACAAGAGATTCTATCGCCTTTTCTCATATATTAAATAATTTTCGATTTCTTATATAATGGGGGGGGGGGTAAGATGGCCGAATAGCTAATGGTTCAGATTATCGATTAGAGGCAAAGACTCGATGCTCCCTTCCAATCCCTGAT